AAGTTCTCTCTACGCTTCGATGCCAGAAAAGTGAAAAGAATCATAAATGCTGCTGCTAATTGCAGTTCAATGCTTTCACTTGATGGCGGGGCTTCCTCTAGAGTGGCCAAGAGCGCCACCCACCTGGGGATCCATCTCTTGGGATCCCAGACATGTCCCACCGTAAAATATTCTGCTCGGCTAAGTAGCTGGCGGCCATAAATCTCCAGCAGTTCGCCGGCTGTAAAAAGTGATTTACATACTCGAGGAAGCCCCAAGTTCGGGTTTGAAGCTGTGGCTGTGAGCGCTAACTTACTTTCGCTATGTGAGAGTGAAGAAGCAGCAAAGAAATTAAATTCAATTTTGCCCCGTCTTGGCATTTGGCAAACTTAAAAAACAAGACAGCAAAACGCTCGCAAACAAGTCAACACAAATTGTACTTTTTTCACATTTCAGCCGGGTTTCTTATTTATAGCATTTTGCATGCATATTTGATCAAAAACAATCAAATTTTATGAGAAAGTACGAGCGACCAAACACATCTTGATATGTTTCGGGAAAAACACAAATTGAAAGGAGGTTTCTGTCCATATTTTTTAAACTTTTTATGCGTTGCATAAAGATAATTTTTATGAAAGTCTCTGTTTTTCGGGCAAGGAAGTGCTTAAATAAATTAAGGGGTCTGTGTTAGGTGAAGTGGTATTAATGAGTCGTGTTCATTGTTTGTATATCGCAGGTGAAAGGGTAATTAGCTGATGATCAAAAAGTATACAAGGTGGGATGCAAAAACCTATTGAAAGACATGGGTCAAGCGGAGATTAAATATGTTTCAGTTCGTAGTACAGTCCCTCAACTTGCTCGCATAACCTCTACCTTGATTATTTGAATGAGTATTATGAGTACTCAGCCCGCTGTTCAATGACTTTGAACTACAAAGTTCCAGCAGCCAGCTAACTCAACCCCACCTTTTGGCAGCAATTTACACTTGGCAAATCTCAAACTTGAAGACAAAAAAATTCATCATTGTCATCATCATCAGTTGGCTGTTACGCATTGCTGGCCACGCCCCCCGTGCCCCAGAGCCCATATTTGTATATCAAGTGAAAGCTATACACATAATTTCCACTTGTCTGTCTGCGTCTCTATGTTTTTTTCCTGCACTTGCTTTATTTTTAGCCAAAAAGTATTGCACATTTTTCACATGATTGTGTTAATCAGTCTTTGCCTTTCTTATACAGTCCACATACTATGCTAAAAATAATGCGAATTTTTTGTGTTTTCTATATTCGTAAGCCAGGTCGACCCGACATTTGACCGTTTTATATAATGCAGAAAAACTCTTTCATCTCATTTTCCGTGGGAGGGGGCGTTTGTTTTTGGTGTCCACACAGGCATGGCCAAAGTTTCTGTTTTTATGGCCAACTAATAACAGCCATATAGTTGTAGACTATTATGGACTGCCTGTGGGCGTTTGTTGCTGCTCTGAAATTGGCCCAGTAAAATTGCCGGTCATCTCTTCTGAAAGGTGCTAAACGGCTGCGGTCATAAATTGCTATAATGTATACAAAACATGTGAATATTTTGTGGGCTTTCACTTGCCAAAAGTTGCGTGCGAAATTATCAGTGGAAAAGGGAGTGAGCTGTGGGCAGAGGCCCTAGAGTTTCACCCGATCATGCGGGTTAGGTGTGAACTTTTCGGGAAAATTGTGTAAAGTGCGGGCGCAAAGGTAGCTGGAATTGGCTCTAATTTTGTTTTTTATTGTTAGAGAATAAACTATAAATATTTTGGGATAACTAATATCCTTAATAAATATCTTTAATATTTTGTTTAAATAGCAATTGTTTCACAAAGTACTTTTATTCACAGATTTTGTGTCGTGTTAAGTTATAAAAGCTCTGCTCTTTTCTTTTAATTTTTTTAAAGATATGTATTTTAAAGGTACTATAAACTATGCAACAAGTAGGAAATATTTAAATTTCTTTCAAAGTATGTTTGGGATATCTTACTTTCAGCTTAATTGCAGTTTAAAAATAAACAATTTCCAACTTTTTGTTAAATATTAGTGTTAATTATTTTTAATTTGCCACCCGCTGCAGAGAGCCAGCAGTAATTAACTTTCCCGTGGCCACCGGCAGCGTGTAAAATTCCCAATATACATCATTTCCATCGCAAGAAGACAGACAAAATAAAACAAAACGCATACAAAACTCAAAGCGAAATGAAGGAAAACAAATCACATCACTGAATGTAATTACACGAATGTGAGTGACTGCATGTCGTGGAGCCCGAAGAAAGAAAGAAACTGGTAAGAAAGAGAGACTCGGAGAAGAAAGACCGCATAAAAGCCAAAGAGCCAGCTACAGTTTCTTGGCAGCACAGCGGCTGCCTCTTGCTTCCCAACTTGACCCGCTTTTGAGGCGTTCTAAATAATTTCTGTCACGCTTCGGCTTGCAGTGAAAATAAAAGTAAGTTTCGTATTAGGTAAGCCCTAATCTAAACCGATAACACACAGTAATTTATGCTAATTCAGACGAAAGTTTTACGTAACTGCTTTTGATTCTACCCATTCGGCCGTTGTTAATTGTCATTGAATTCGTGAGTCCATTTTGACGGGCTTTAATCAGGCGAGTGCAACGAACTCATTTTCTCCGTATGCTGTTTATCGCGTGTCTGGTTAATGAAGCTGCCAAACATCTGTCGGAGAGTTATTTAAGCAAAACCAATTAATTTAATTAATTAATATCAATTTGGGAGTGCACAAAAGACTCTGGCGCGAATAACGACAGCAAGTACACGCATTAATACGCAAATTCGCGAATTTCGCGGCGTATTTATTTTCCTCTCCAGAACCATTCTCTTCTCTGGCGATAAATCATATTCATATTTAAATATTTGCATAATTTTGCTGTGCAAATGGTGAGATTGTCTTTTCGCTAAATCGGCTGGGCAATCGGAAATGGATAAAAAACAAATGTTTACCTGATTGATTGGCAGATTGGCAGACTGACTGACTGACTGACCAACTGATTGACTGAGAGTTTGCAGCTGCGCGAAATTGTCAAAATGGGCGTGAAATTATGCTACTGCGAGCGGCAATCGCACAAAGTTCGTATCTACATTTAAATCATGTGTTTAATTAATGCCAGTAATTCATACATTAAATGTAATAATTCGTTCTGTAAATAAAGGAAAGTGGGTAGGGAAGCCATAATACAATAGGGCTTAATAGGGCAAAAGAATTTTAATTGAGTTTGTTATTGCGAACGGAATTTAATGTTAAATCACTCATAGTTTAAACTACTTATATCTAAACAGCTTTAACACTTTTTGTTACCATTTACTTTAAACAAATTTCTAAGTATTTACTATAAGACCTCACACCTATATGCAAATATCTGTTAGCCATGTCTCTAGCCCGTTTCGCCTTAATGAAAAGCAAATTCTCACACCCTTTTGGAAAATCAACAAAAGCTGAAAAATCGTTTCCCAAAAGCCAATTAGTCCAAAACATGTGTAGTGGGTCTATCATTAGTTTACATCTCGACGCACTCGTTGCAACAATTTTGGCCATACAAATGTGAAAAAAGAGCGAACGTTGCACAATAGCGGACGCAGTGGCTCAGATCTCTGGCCTAAACACCTTTTAATGGCCAAAATTGTTATGGGCGGCCGCAGAAACCGCCGTCTGCCGTCTGCCGTCCGTCGACCATCAGCCATCGACTAATGAGCGGGCAGTCAAGTCAGCGGGCTCTTAACTTTTATCTGAACTAAACCAAGTTGAGCTGAACTGAGCCGCATTGGGTTCTGTAAAAGGCCAGAACAAACACTGAAAAATGTAGGCCCAGACAATGCAGTGCGATGTGGTAGGTGGTAAGACACAGCTCTTTTGGCTACTTGAAATAGTTGAAGTTGAGCTCGGCTTTTGTGGTTTTCCTTCTTTTCATCTCTGTAAACTGGCCCCAAAGGTGCTACACCAAATGAATTATGAGAAGAATTGCAAATAAAAACAGCCATAAAAAAATTATAACCAAGATTGTTGCTTTTAAACTGGAGCAAGAGTGGAAAAAAGTCAGCTGCTGCGGAAATGCACATGGAGAAGTTTTGGAAAATATTAACTAAATTTATTTAGGAGGTTAAGTTTTTAAGTTATTTTAAGTCTTTTGATCTAGAAACCACTTTTAAAAAATATAATATATATGGTCTGATAGGAACTATATATTCTACTTAGAATTACCGCTTGAGATAATTGAAAATAAAAACATTAATAAATTATAATTCATTTAAAAGACTTTTGAAGATCTAAGTTCTAAATTTAAATTCTTTTTAAGTAGTTATATTTTTAATAATATTTTCTTGATGTGTAAAGACAACTGCAATATTTTACTTGTAAGCAGTAGTTAAATTCCTGAATAAATGTTCGAACAACCTCATTAACGAGCCACTAATTTTGAAACCAATTAAAGTCAGTAACTGAATCAAAATCAAATATTGTTTTTAAAGACTGCTACGTTAATATTACTTAGATTTTTTAACTCTAACACATTAAGACCATATAAAACCGAAAGCAAAAAAGAACTGCCAGGCATATAAAATGTTTTTTCTTGCACAGAAATAGCTGCAATTAATTTACTTGCTGGCAGTACTTAAAGTCCGTCAGAAAATGTTTGAACTGTTTTTGCGGGCAATTGAAGTTTTTATTTAATTATATTTTTCAAATGCGAAGACCCTGAAATGTCTTTCACTTTTTAGCCAGCTGCGAAAAACGGAAAGTCAGACGCTTTTTATGGAGAATCGAGAGCAAAGTCTTTTTTAATCTTCAGCCGTTGAGGCGAACGCAATCTTCGATCTAGCAACTCGATTCTCAGGCAGTGGCCATTCAATAGCAATTATGACCGGTTTTCAATTAAACAGAAACTGGAACTCAATTGCATTTCCTCTTTGAAACGAACTTCATTCTCGGCCGAAAGAAATCTTTTCTCCTCGGTTTCTGTGTTTTTTCCTGGTCAGAGATCACACTTACCGCTTGGGATACGGTATGCGCCGGTACTTGAAGGCATTTTCCACATCGCGCAGTTTCATTTTGTACGATCGCTCGGCGTTCAGAGACATCCAATGGGAGTTACACAAAAAACACAATCGTTTGAGATCTTTTTCGGAGACCTTTCTTGGCCGAAAGAATTTTCCGGTCAGCACTTGAATTCACTGCGGTTCACGAGAAGGTAGATGTTGAGACGTCCGTAGAGCTCGGCGATCGCGGCTTGACTGAATGTTCCTGGGGGCTCTTGGCCGCCTTTTTGGCCAACTTTAAGACGAGGCTGGCAGCGGCTTACCGCTGTTTGCTTTTACCATTTTCTTTCGCTCTCTTCGACTCTGTTTGCCCGCTCTCTTCGGATCTCTTTGTACGCTAGTGCGGCGGTCGACTGAGTTCGTGGACGTGACTGTAGCCCATTTGTCTGTGGTAACATTTTTATTATTCACCGACATCTGACATTAATCTACTTCGGCATATTTATTTAGGTCGTCCAAATATCAGAGTGTCTTTATTCTCCACTGCAAGGAATCTAATTTCGGGCACTTGTTTCAATATCCTCTATTGAAACAGCTGCCCGAATCAACCTTAATAGTCGTTTTTAACCGAAAAGAACATATTGCTTTCGATCCAAACCACGTTGGCAAAAAGAAGAACTTTGAGATTGGTTCAGCTGGTTTTTGAATTTATTTCTTAGGGGAAGAGAATTAGAATTAGGAACAGGTTTACCTTTGAACTTCTCCCCCCCTAAATGGGTAGTCGAAAAGTTGACCTTCCCGCTTTTGTAATTTCCATCGATTAGATTTTGCCAGTCGCGCATAAATAAAAGATTCTTCTCGATTTCTGGCTTCTCACATCGTTCGTTGGCCAACTCTGGACCTAACTATAATTTTGGCCGGACTCAAATCTGAAATTTCTATAAGTTTTGTGCTCCGCCGATCTCCGCACTTGCTGTCCACAAAGCTCATTGACCCTTAGTCAACTGTAGATACTACTGGTACAGTGGCAACGCGAAGTTAATGGTCACTTATTTATTTGAGATATTTATAATTAGAAAAAGATTAGCTTTCAAGCTACATTATTATTTGACTTAATAAAGAACTAAGTAATATAAAATATATTTTATATATTTCGAATTCCAAAGAGTGCACTATATAACATAAATAATTAAGGATTATTTGCAATATATATTAATCATAGTAAGATAATTATTAATATTTATATACATTTGCAGTTGCAATAAGAAAAAAACCTCATTTAGCACTTATTCATTTATTATAACACTTTGTAGAGTTTTGTATATTTTTTTAGGTATTTTCATAGGTACACAAACTTTCTTCACCCACTGTAGCCAGCTTGCCCACTGACTGGCGTCAGACGGGTGCCGGATTTAAGCGTTTACCCACAACTATCTGCCTAGGTCCACATTTTTTAAGAACGACAAAAAACCGACTGTTTAAACTTACTAACCTTTTTTTATTTCAGCAACAAGCTGAAAATCCGTGTAAATTTCTCGATAACAATGGCAAAAAAATGGAAAAGTGCCAACCTCAACATAAGCAGACAAAATGTGATAATAAAACTACAAAAAGTATGTGTTGGCGGCACATGCCTTTATTTCGTATGCTAATAATTTAAGGTATTTCTGTAATTATCACCAAGAAAGCCAGAAGATGCAAGCTGAAAGCTGAAAAGTTGCAAATGTGGCGCCGATTGCATCTGATGATTGGCCAAATCGATTGAGATAAATGAGCCATCTGAATGATCGGACTCTTTCTCCGATTTCGAAACATGAAAGCTGACGACTTGTTCGTCTGTCAGTTTTCGGGTTAAGTTTATCAGCTGTCCAATTGTGGTTGCTCACCCCAAGTTGGTCATATCTTTGGGCCGATGTTATTGTTTTTGTGCTGCCAACCGCTCGTTTGTTGTTGTCACGATTGTGCTGAGCTGGCCACTCGATTGTAAACAACTGCAATTGGCCCTAGGTGCAAATATCAATAGCCGGGTGTGTGTGTTTGTGGCAGGTGTGTGTATATATTAAATGTGCGCGGTGTTTGAGCGTGTATTTTATACAGCGAGGGGGTCTAGGGTAGTTGGTTATTAATATATATTTTAAATAAATCAAACAAATATATTTATAAGTCATAATGATTAATTTGTTATCCATTTAGCTGAATAAACAAATTGAATTGTTAATATATTTAATGTTAATTTTTCTCTTGTGTATTTCCCTTAATTCGGTTGGTTAAAATACAAAGACTGGCATGTAATATTAGAACTAAAACTGCCTCCGTTTCAATAGTGATAATTTAATTTAATAGCTTTTGAAAAAGATTTGTTAAGCAGAACAACTTAATATTAAATAATGTTTTAACCAGCAAAGTTGAACATAGACAACATATGTTTAGGAAAGGACTTTCTAACAATTATTAAACTAGAAAGTATTTTATATTTAGCAGTAGTGATTTTATTTTTAATTAATTAAGTACTTGCCTTAATGTCACCTCTCATTTGTCAAACTCTTTATGGAAACTTTTTTGGCACGCCTCGTTAGCATTTTCCGGGCTTTCTGTCGCCCACGCTTATCAAAGCCTTTTCGGCCAAGTCCAGGGGCCAGAGTTGCCAGGAACAGAGAAACAGAGCTGTCGGCCATAAACACAGAGTCACAGAACTGGGGAATCCGAAGGGGGCAGAAGCTGGAATCTGCGGTATATAGAGCACATACAACACGAGCACCGGGCTCGGTGGCTTATGTTTTATGCGGGTTAACGTTAACGTTGGCCAAGCCAAAAACCCGATCCCAAACCCAATCCCAAACCCAATCTCAGTCCTAGGACCTACCGGTGAGAACCCACGCCTGAAGCAGCCGGCTTGGCTTTAACACCATCTCGTTCGATGTCCCGAATATTCGAGGATGTCCACCTCCACCAGTGGTTGCCCGGATGCGGGCAATCAAAATCTGCGGCCTACTTGACTGCCAGCTATTTGGACACGATTTTGAGTTTGCCTTAGTTTGGCCAACGGTTTTCCCCCAAGCGTCAAACGGAACAGTTGGCATTCCACCCAGAAACCACCCATCCCCCACCCACAGCCCCAAATTCGGGGCTAATAAAGACAGGTGCGCCGTTTTAAATTTCATTTTTTCCTCAGTTTTATTTTTGCTTAAAGTTCTTTTTTGGTTTTAATTGTCTTGGTTTTTAAATACTCGTTTCATCTATTTGATTCAGTGCGTCATTATTTTAAGGTTTTCCTTTTCCATATACGTATAATATCTCTATATAAATATTTGGTTTAGTTTTTATTTATCATACAAGTGAAACTTACGCTATCAAACGGCGAAAAGAAGTGGGGGATTTCAAAAGTGAACACAAGACATGATCTCTCCATCTCATTGGGTCTCTACTTTGTGTTTTTTAATTAAATATGCGCAGACTGTACGCAGTTCGACTATTTACACAGCTGTCTGTATTTTATTATTATTTACCATCTCGCGCTCAGTTTTCCTCTTTATATTCGTCGTCTACTTTATTTTCGAACATTTCAAATAAATTACATGCAGTGTTTTATGCGCGGTCATAATTCAATTTCTTCAATCGCTCTCCTTTTTTATTCGTAGCTTTTTATCTTTTGGATACTTTTTTTGGATCTACTTTAAACACAGTTGGCACAGAAATTTCCATAGTTTGGTTTGGTTGAGAGAAGGAACTGAACCGAACTGATGATTGAGATGTGAGTTTGTGTGAGTCCGTGTGACAATGGTGGCCAACGAAGTAGTTGCTCTTAAAGCTACCTATTTAAATGCATCGCCAACATCGTTCATTAAATATTTTTGGTTTTTCCTCAATGCATTTTTAGCCTATGCGCCGTTTTTAATTAATTTAATTTGTTTTCATTTTCGTTTTCGTTCTCATATATTTTTCAGTATTATATTATCTCTTATTTGAATGCGTGTAAAATATCCTATATGTATGCTGTGGTGTGTGTCTGGAAATCATAATTCTTTGTTTTTTAGTAAATTGTACAAAGTGCGTTTCGTTCTGGTTTTATCCTTTCTTCTCTTTTATTTTTGTTTTCGGCTATAAATATTTAGGTTATTTGCTATCAAAAAATGCAAACCGAAAATATTTGATTTAATTTATGTATATATATTTCCTTTTTAGTTTTTTTGCTGACTAAATCATATACTCGTATAAATATTTTTTATACACATGCTTGTCGGTAAGGTTCTTTATTGGAGTTGAAATTTTAATGGGTTTTCATGGATGCGGATTCTGCCTGCATGTGGCAGAGGTTCTTAAATTTTAAAATTCTCATTGCGGCCAGTTCGTAATTTTTGTCCTAGTTTAGTGTCTATAAAATAAAGTACTTATGTCTTGCTTTTACGCTCTTCCTTTGGTGTTGGCTTAATCCTACTGCAACTGCCAAAAGTTTGATTGTTTATAAGGGTTATGGGCCGTGTCTTAAGTGGTAAAATACAGTTTGTTACTATTTTCTGTAGTTTTGCCTGTAGTTTTTACAAAGTCCGTTTAACTTTAGGAATATTACTTACTGCAGCTACTTATGGGAAACGATCGATTCTGTTCGAAGTGCGAACATAAATGCTGACATAAAACAAGTAATTGCTCGACAGAAATATTTACATTGATTGGTTTTGTGTTTTATAATCCTTTGGCAGTTCTCTCGATTTCGATTTAGATGGAAAGTGAACATATCTCTGGCTTGGAGTTTCGAGTTCTACTTAATTCATTAATAACAATTGCATTTCATTAACTTGTTGTATCGACTTGTATATAATGTATGTAATAAACCACTAAGTGATGTCCTTTGCTTATGTGTTTGTTTGTGCTGTACGATAAAAAACCCAAAAGTGCCGCCATCTTAATATCTTAATAGACTATAGTTAGCTAGTACCTATACAATATACGTCTCTTGGTGTGAGTATTAATCATGTAAATGCTTCGATTTGCCTGTGTTTAAACATAGTTCAGTATGTGCATGCCTTTGATCACAACACTTTAGAGATTTCCTTCCTCCCAGACCTTTCCCAACTCCGTTTCAAATGCTGCTAACAGTTTTTATTCCTAGTCTAATCCCTTAAAAGTTAATGCTGTTGGGCGTCTGTCAGCCCACCGAGTTGTTCTTTCTATACAATTTCATTGTAGTTTATGATTTATTCTCCATTTAGTTGCTAAATGTCATTTGTTTACTTCCTTTAATGGGTGCTATGTGCCATATGGTAAATATGCCGAAGGCATCTACGAACTGCCCCCGAATCGCTTGCTCTCTAGCTGATCTAACTGCTTTAAAGGTACCTAATTTACAATAGTTTTACTTCCTCTTTTTGCTCGCCGTATGTAGTTTTGAAATATTCTATTTCGTTATAGAATGAAACAAATTAGGAAGAAGTCAAGGCTGGTTAGTATACAAAAATAATTTATGTTAGTCAATGAATGTATGGAAGTTTAGTTTTAAGGTTGTAAAAAATACAATTTTTTCTCATGGTTTGAAGTTATCAATTTTGTTAAACGTCGAAGAGCTTAGGTTATCTAAATAACCTGTAAATATTATATATGTTGAGAATTGATCATAAAATGTATAAATTTTTGTTGATTTTTCTAATTCAATTCTAATTTCAATCACCTTTATCTAAAAAACTGTTAGTTAAATATTTTCATCATTAGAAATTAAAGCTCATAGCTGCAAATATATATCAATATAAGTCTGAGTTCCAGCTCCTGACTTCTTTTTTAAATCAAATTTTAAAAACAAACTAAAAAGTAAGGACTAGCTGATTACGGAAATACAAAGTAGACATTTTCAAAATCATGTACAACTCAATAATCATCATCATTCGCCTACAACTACATACACACATTTCTCGTCAATGCGCATTTTGTTACTCCCAGAAGCGTTTAGAAAAAGTTATCAGCTTAAAATGTAGTTTCATTTAGTGTTCTCATACCTCCAGGCGTCGACTCTGTATCTTTAAAATCTCCAGGCCAGATTTTGAACGGGATCAGCGAACTGATCCATCGGTCAGGCCAGCTCCATGGAAAGCTCCACATGATCATAGCTAATGCCACAGCCGGCGGCAACATATCACACAGTGGTCTCCCGATCCACGTGGATATATTCGACCGGCTGGAGTCCGTGTCAGGAGGCCGGATCGATGTAAAGTGCCTCCTTCTTGAAGTCCTTCTTCAGGGTTCCGATGCTGGCGGCTGAGACGTTGCCGTTGCTCGCTCCGTTCATGAACCCAATGCCCACGCCCATACCGCCCACACCCATTCCACCCACGCCCATGCCGCCCACTCCGGCGCCCTTCTGCACCACCGACTTTTTCCGCTTCCTCATCAGCCCGAACATGCAGAATATCAGGCAGGCGGTCAAAGCAGCCGCAATGCATCCCAGAGCAGCGAAAACGCCTCCCGGCAATTCCAGCAGCTTGCGAGCGGTGCCGCACTCCTCCTCTGATTCATCGAATCCGCTGGGGCAGTTGTGGTGACCTGAAAATAAGAGATCACAGATACACATTACAAAAAAGTTAGAAAACCTCAAGAATGCAGAAAAACAGTTTAAAATCAAAATCAGTAAACCAAACTCAATGAACTTGAGAGTTAAAAAATCTGTTTTCTTTAGTAAATAATATAGAAAACCAATGTATTATTCCACATTTCTCTCAGTGTAAGAAGAGATTCAGTAACCGAGATAGAGGCAGAGTCGAGCGCTGATTGAAAAATTGAAAGTAGATTGGGGTTTTGGGCGGTTAGCGTCGTGGCTGGGTGGCCTACTCTAAGGTTACAAATTGAATGCAGTGTCACTTGAGTGGCCCGTTGGGTCCGAAAGCTTGTTTAATGCCCTGGCTTTTGCGGTTAACCAGCTCCAGATGCAGACGCGCCTGGTTGCCCATAAATAATTGAAGCTAAAAAGGCAAAGTCCAGGCTGGCCTTTGTATTTTTTCCCCCAAGCGTACGTTTTAAAGAGGTCTGTACGGCTTCCGATGTATTAGTGAACTGCAATAATATCCTTTTCAATTTAACACAGATGTATTCTACGCTCCTTTGTAAGTATATACCACGGTTGGATCAGGATTGCCTTTAATTTTACTTCGGTTTTACATTTGTTCACCTAAAAAACAGTTAGCTAAGAAATTTTATGCGGGAATAATGAGCAAAGTGCCTTTAATTAATTATTATAATATTTAAAGACAGTGTTTGTTATAATTTACTCTAAAATAGTTAATGAAAATATATATTCCAGCAAGGGGCTATTCACTGCATTCACTGGTTATATTTAGAAAGGGTATCTAAAATTGTGTATACTTTGCGAATCCTGCACTGTTTTCCTTTGCCCTTCATCTCCCAAGTGCATCGCAAATAAGTTTGGCACAGCTGTTGCGGCCATTTGGTTTGGACTGGGTTTCTGCCGGACTGGGACAAACTTTTTGCGCAAGACATTTCGGGGTTTTGCTGCTGCGGGTTTGTTCAACAACCGGCCATCCCACCAGTCGGCCAACAACCTACAACCAACCAGCACCAACAACCGCCGACAACGACGACCGACCAACGAAGCAACTAACAACCCGACCAGCAGGAGTTGTGCAGCCAGTGTGCAGTTGTCAGGGAAACTTTGCCTGATTACAAAAACGTGGAAAAGCTGCCTCGAAATTAACAGACAAGCCAGCCACAAGTGAAATTTTTGGTTGCCTACTGCCGAGGGCACGCATTTGGACAGGCCAAACCCCAGGACTGAGCGCCACATCACGTACAAATAACGCAAAAATCCAGACTGGGAGGGCAAGCTGGCGACTCTTTTGATACATTTGAAAATTCCTCCAAGTAGGCTCTGCAAAATAGTGAGTAAACGGTGGACTTGATATACACACTTTAACTAACACTTTTACTTTAATAATTGTGCTTATAAAGTCCACATCCTTAGACTCTTAGACTCTAATGATTAGTCTCTAATCATTGCCAAGAATTCAGCATGGTTTAGCTCTTAAACTTTTCTTATTAGTAGTTTTCTGCTGACCCATATTGGTAAACGCATAAAGTTTCTTGGCCACGTCGACTTCTATAAACTAGTTTACCCTCAGTGCTCTCATGCAAAAACCCATTCGGCAACCTTCTGAGAAATGTGGCCTGGGTCTGTGTCTGTGGCCCCAAATTGCAATCTCAACTTACCATCACACCACAGGCTGGCCGCTATGCATGCATCAATTTCAGGACATTTGTATTCGCAGTCTGACTCCTTGGGAAAGAAGCCGAATTCGTTCAGCGTTTCGTTGGCCGTTGCCCCGCCTGCAGAGCCTCCGGCGTTGGCAGCAGATCCTGAACCACTGGTGCCCAGCCCACCGATTCCCGTATTGGTTCCCTGGGAGGATTGGGAGGAAGTCTGGGAGCCCATTCCCGTGGTCACGCTCGCATTCACATGCAGGTCCAACTGCTGCAGCAACGCGTTCTTGGTTCGGTGGATCTCCAGCCACGTGAAGGAGATGTCGCCGGGCTCCTTTAGGATGGGCTCCAGCACCAAGCTGATTGGTCTGGAATATGGATATAAGGGAAACGTTCTTATTAGATCACTGTGGAAAAAAATGTTTTTTTTGTCAAAATATGAAAATAGTTAATATACCGACGCTACCTTTATTGGAATTCAAACAGCAAATACGGAATTTTATTATATTATATCTTTCTATTAGTAGTTCTTTATATTTTATAATCCCATTTTATAAATCCTAAAACTGTAAGAATATGCAAAAATAGCCACCAAGATTTTAAACCCTTCCTTAATGAGATCCTTTGCCTTCTCCCTGGAGTCTGTCATGCTCCACATAACTTTTGTGGCAACTATCTGAGTATATCCTTTACTATTTTCTTGGTTTCTCCATAGCCTAGTAGTTTCTCAAGTGCAACTAATTACTCGCAACTTTCAAGTTTCCATAGACAAAATATCTTGTTCGCAGTTTGGCTTAAGTCGCGCATTAAACGAGTTAGCCGTTGGAGTTTGGTTGCCAGAAGTTCGGCACAATTGCATTCATTTAAAATCGATGAAGCCAAGACTCTCAAATGCGGAATTACAAAATATTTAACCTCTTCTTATTGATTGTAGATTTTCTCCCTTTAACTTTATATTTTCTTGTAGGAAGGTTTTGTTGGTTTTTCGTAACCTTTTATCTTGGAAATAAGTCTTATTTCCAGTTTAACTGGCTTTTTAAAGTCTTTCCTCGTAATAACAGTTCAGCATTACATTACTTTAGAGTGTGGCCATTTTAATTCACAACTGAGTTGAAAAGCCCACAATTAATTATCTAAAAAGGCTCAACACACTCATTAGCCAGCTCCGGATATCCAGTGCAATGTCCAATTACCCTTTGGGGTACCATAAAAATATGTTTTCACATGTCGTCCACAATGCAATATTCCTTCTCATCTTCCTTCCCCGCATCCTTTCGCCCTTTTTTATGTTCTGCGGCGACAAAATTGAGCAAAATGCAAACATGGACAAAGGGGACAAAAAAGTTGACCATAAAATTTAATGGCAACACGTTAAATGCAGGACCAGGAAAAAGGACAGAAGGTTGGTCAACTGCCCGGACTTTTCCCCCAAGAAACGAGTGTAACGTCCAGGTTCAACGGTTCATTTCGGTGGCACGCACCTTGGACATAAATTGCCGGAGCACATACGGCCAAGTTCCAGCGGGCAAAATGCTCTTACCTGAATCACCATCACCCCTTCCCAACCCATTTTCCTCCACCTGTCTTCGCCTCATGCTCGTTTTGCATGCTTCATGTGAACAGCAGAGGTGAAATTTATAGCAGTCCTTAAACAGACGGCAATGGAGTATTGAGATCGTTTAAGGGAAAACTATGTATGTTCTAATCCATTTGGAATTTATATGAAATGCCTTTACATTGTTAGCATTGATAAAATCCCATAAACTAATAGGATAATTTTTAAATTTAAGAGAAAATGCCATTAAACTTGGTAAATTTAGTTTTGTTAAAAGAGAAGCCAACGATTTTTAAGTTTCCAAATACTTATAACTGAAAATACTGAAAACACCTAATTAGTTGACCTTTGCTGTATGCATGAGTTCATGTCTGACGGCCATGTTTGTTTGCTTGGACTTCGTCTCGTTTACGTTTTCATTTTTTCCGTCTCTCATATAGCATATTTCTTTGCGCTCAATTTCCTGTATTTTGTTGCCGTCGTAGCCATTTCCTGTTATTGCATTTTTAAGCAGGACTTTTTGATAGAGCTCCGGGGAGGAGGACTGCGAGCTGGAAGAGCCTGGTACCAGTGCAAATAAGTGCAGGGGGTTTTTGAAATATTAGCAACTATTAAAATGCAATTAATTTTGAGTGAAAAATTCCCAAAAATACTCAAGCTAAGAGGCTTTCTGTGTAGTGTTCAGTTGGTCGAGTGGACTTAACTCACATGCACTTGATAATGGAAAGGAGCCTCCGTGCCATTAGGCATGAATGTTTTCAAGTCCTGTCCTTTCTTTATTTGTATTTTTGTTGGATTTTTAACAATTTCGTGGAGGATGGGTAATTGGTGAGGTCAAGTCTTGTTGGGCGACATCAGAGCGTGAAATTGTAAATATTTCAGTTTCTATTTTTCGCAAATAAAGAAAGTTTTATATTACAACAAAGAATAGTTTGCCACATTTCTTTCATTGAGGGAAAATATTTTTGTTTTCTGTTCAGAAACCAGTAACCCAGATATAAGACATCTTTGTATTTATACTTCCATTTTTGGCACTGATTAAGCCACAAATTATCACAAAACTATACCGTTTTTAAATAGGAACATATTTAATTATTACCTTTCTTATTTGATAAACAAATTTGTATTGAATGGTCTTTCCCACTTACTTGTTCATGAACAAGGGCTGCCCATTGGTCCAGTCCTCGGAGAAGATGTGCAGCGACATTGGCCTGGGTCCACTTTGCGCCGGACAAACCACCCTCATGGGTCGCAGAGGTCGTCCGGAATAAATCATCAGTCGATTCTTGGTGTGACACCTCATGGCATCTTCGGAGGTGGGATCCACTGGCAGATAGGCGCCCCAAGTCTGAACGAAGAGCGACCTCTCAGCCGATTGGGCTTCAATGTACCAGGCCAATCCCTCGCAACTGGCATCCTGGGTTTTTAGTGGATACTTAAGCTCATCCTCTCCTCCGGCTCCCTTGAGTTTCAACTGCTTCCTACAGTCCGGCTGCCTCTTGAACTCATACGAAGCTGAGAAGAAGACATCCGCAAAGTCCTCCGATATATTCAATCTTGTAACCGTGAATGAGAGCTCCATAATCCTCGAATGGGAAACGAAGGTGAGAGGGGCATTGCTGTACAAAGCACTGGAATTATCGCAGAAGCAGCCCAGTTGGATTTTCACATCCCTGAATGGAACGTCAAACAGCCGCAGCTCCGTGATGCGACCCTCGGGATCCAGTTGATTGCAGCGGGGTCTACCCGTATGCAGATCGGAGTCCGTAGTACAGGACGTACCCTCGCCAAAGGAAACATTATGTAGTACCAATTTGACCCTTTCCGAAGGACCCGCTTCAAAGCGATACAAGCAGGTTATATTTTTGGCACCACCTCGTCCGTAGAGGAACACATTCCTTGGAACTTGGATGTTGCCCTTGCGCTTCTTGAAAATTCTTGAGCAGAGTGGCGGTACAGGGTCTTCTCCCCGTCTTCCAGCCCAGGTTTCACCACCTTGTTCCGTGTCTACGAACTCGTAGTTAAGGGCAAACTGCGCTGGGAATAAGGCGGTGCCTGTGTGCGTGTGGAACTCCAGTTTCTGTAAAGGAAAAAGGGAACACTTAGCATTGGGATACACTATAAAGTATTTAACAGTCAATATAACATTTAATATATACATTTTAGCTCTTCTTAAGCTCTTCTTGTGTACATTATTCCCTCTAACCATATATATAAACTAATTTTTAATTTTAAGAGCCGAGATCTGATTAATCTTAAAAAAAAAGTAAGCTAAACGCCATATTTTAAGTTGGTTGTAGATACTTTATACTATAATCAAGGGCAAGTATGCATAGGTATTTCTTGATATGTACGAAGTTTTAAGGTTTTTAACTTCGTAATGATTTTCGTCTGAGTGTAGGATTGCACAATGCGCGGAGGCTTCAATTTGGCATCACAATATTTGCAGTTCATATTTGTCAACGACGAGCGACGTCAAAAAGGCTAAGCAAGCTTATTGCGGTTGTCTGTTTGTCCGTGCATACCGCCTGCCGTGCTACCCTCCGCTGCCCCGCCCTAGGCCACGCCTCCGCCCACTTGCCACCCAGCGTATTTGCCTTTGTGTGCTATGTGTGTGTGTGTGTGTGTGTGGGGCTTTGGCGAATTTGAATTTGGCGCCCGCCTCTGGGAAATTCGCTTTGCTCCTTCGTTATTTGTGCACGTCTGGCGATGCAGTCGAGTGTTTAATTTGATTAATTTTGTCAAGTTTAAAGCAAACACGAAACGCTCTGCACTCTGCCAAAAAATTCCCAGTTTCCAGTGTTCGGCTCTCAGTTCTCCAGCTGCGTTTTATTTATTTGTGAGGGCCCTTGGGCGTGCCAAATTGGGCACTCGGCATTCGTTACTCGCCAACAGCCAAGGTGCAGTCACAAAGTCGTGTTTTCCTGCTCCTTTAGTTTTATTTTTATAAGCCATGGCCCAAAACGTACAAAGCAAACAGCGGCAGCTGACAAATTAGAAAAGTCCTTTGGTTAAGTTCTTATTTTCGTTGATTTCGTCGTTATGGCCAGTGCCGCCTGAAGGTAGGCTACTGTTTCGATTGGTCTGCCGTTGGCTGTTGATGAAGTGCTGCCTAGCTTTAGGCAGCTATGCAAAATTTTATTAAGTTTAAAAGTTATTAAAGTAAAATGCCTTTTAAGGAATAATGCTGAAAGAATTTTTTTCAGAAAATTGTGTATAGTCATTTAAATCTACCTTAAACCTTAAACTTAAATATTAATGAAGTTCAGTAGTATTTATATTTGAGGCACTGATATTATCTATTTTTGGCTAACTTACCAAATCTCTTCCGGTGCTCACATAGCTCTCCAACGGACTGCACGGCCTTTGTTTATTGCCACCCATTACGGCACTACTGCCGCTTACTCCACTTCCAATGGCTGTATGATCACACAATTTTGGAGTCTCGTAATCGTAGATTTCCAGCATAAGTCGCCTTTTTCCCTTGGTGCTCATTAAGGCCACGGCACTGTTTCGATCCGAACTAACGACTGCAGCAGCTGAGACTTCTTTCGAAGACTTGCCACTGGATATAAAGTTAAGGCTATCCTTGACTCCGGATATAGGTTTACCAGAGCCACCAGATGATCCTCCACTAGGACCTCCTCCCTGGTAGCCACTGTACTTGTTCTCCTGGTTAAAAACACTCGACTGCGTCGGTCCATAGATGTAGGTGTCCACCGGGTTCCAGGCATTGTCAATGTTCACCCGCAGATTCCGATTTAGCTTCGGATTGCTGGCACTATAGTAGTAGCTGCCGTAGTTACTTTGGTTCAAGAGGGTGGGCTTACCCCCGTCCGCCGATGAGGCAACGGGAGGTGGTGGAGGCGGTTGGCCGGTGGTTGAACTTGTCGATTTCATGGGCACATATGTCCCATAACTGTCCCACATCCTCAGGCGGGTTATCCACGGTGGCAGATCGCTCTGGAGTAAGACAATTGTAGAGTGAAAAAGAAAGCGAACACATGTTATTGTTTAATTCTCTTGTTGACATTATTTCTATGTACACTAGGAGAAATTTAGATATCTAGGAAAGACATTTTAAAATATTTTATCTATTCTTGTGGGTATATGGAATTTTCCCAAAACATTTTGTTCTAAATAAGCCTTTAGCATCATTTCGAAACTTAAGAATTAATACTATAACAACATAAATTATTGAACGAAATTGACTTTACTACCTCAAGATCTTGTTAATTATTTTCATAATTTTTTAATTATTCAAAATCCAATTTCCTTTAGAAGTACTTAGAGTTTTTCCTGAGTATGCAGAGTATGTGTCATGTTTTTCATCCCACGCGTTTTTCACGCTTTCCCTTTGGCCGCTTGTTTCCCCATTGTTAGTTTGCCCGCTCGCTCTTCGTTTGTCACATGTCATATTCAAACAGTTCCAAGTGTGAGTTATTTGTCGTTTGTCACTGTCCCCGGCCAGAACCCCTCCCCCCTCCATACTCGACGGCTTTTGTAGTTGTAGTCACAGTCTTTGCATTCTTCAGAGTCTCCTTGCTGCGTGTTGTTGTTTGCAGGCATTAAATATTTTTCCTAGACGCCTCCTGGCTGACAATGTTTATGTTTTGCCCCGCTCGGCTCCACTCCATGCCATTCCGCCTAGGCCCTGATTATTGTTGACTGTGTTAATAATGAAAAAGACAGTTGCAAACAGCTGTGGCTTGACTGAAGAAACTGAAGTAACAGACTCCGGACCCGGACAAAGTCGCTTGCTCGAAGTGTCGGCCCAGAAACTAACTGACAGCCATTTAAGCCCGGTGCCTTCGTTCATTTCATTTACTTGATCTGCCTGGGAAGTTTAACTATTCAGCTTGGAATTTCTTAACATTTAAAGTGCTCTCACAAAATGGGAGTCTAAAATTAAATTTGTATGTTTAGAGTTTTAGAGGAAGTCCAGCTGGTAAAAGATTTCCAGCATTTTTTGGCTGCTTTTAATCCTAACAATAAATATGAATAAGGTTGCTTAATAAACTGATTTTCCCCTTCATAAACTCATACGAGATGGTAAGCAGATAGGTAAGTTGCATTCACAAGCACATGGAATCCGTGCCTACCATCAAATTCACAAAATTCATCAATTGCCAACACTTTCTCCGCTTTCAAATTTAATAAATTCCACAGACAGCTGCAACTTGATTACTTTCACACATTCTTCGAAGCATTTTCGAAGGACGAAGAGACAGTTGGAGACTTTCCACCTGCCGTCTAATCAGATAAAATGCCAAACAGCCTTCCACAAACTCAAGGTCGTTCCCTGTCTAGACTGTAGATGTGTTCCACATGAAACAGAGAGAGGCGTCTAATTTATTTTTGGTAGACAGATTCACCGAGCGTTTGTGAAATTTCGGTGCCAATTAATTTGGCAAACCCATTGAAAAAAAGCGGAAAGAGAGCAGATAAATGGTGACTGAACTCTCAGCCAACACCCACACAATTGTCTCTTCCGTTTTTGGGCCACGCCCCCCACCGCAGGATGCTGCCTCTGTCCGTGTCAATTGCAGTTGCCTCACCTACACTTTAAATTGCGAAAAATGAAAAGCTGCCAGCAGCACACAAATAAACAAAAAACGAGAAAAACGAAATATATATCGAGGGGGCAGCCAGTGAAATAAAGCAAAACAACTTTGCAGTAACACCTACTATCTGTACACCTACCGCCCACTCAGCCACCCACTTTACAGGGGAAGAAACAAAGAGTAGGTTGATATCTAAGGCAGCCAAATGTGGGTCAAAAGGAATTCATTCTAGAATCAATTTCTTGATTCTCTAGATGGGACAAGGATAGTAAAAGGGACATACTAATATATCCTATAGCAAGGACTCTAGCAGGCTTAGTTTAATTTAAAATGCTTGATTTTGTCTCAGTGCACTCATCTCGCCCCTCTTTAGCGGCTACAAGCGGGAGTACAATAAAAAGTGACAGAACAAAAATATGTGTAAAATAAAACACAAAACGGGCGACTCCGGTGGGCGGGAGTACGGGGAAATGGGGAATGGAAACGGCAAAAACAGTTCATGAATTTTGTAACAGCGAGGAAAAAGTGACAAAAACAAAAACAGCAGCAGGTACTGGGGAAACTGAAGTCATTGGAACGTGGGCGATACCATTTTTTGCGGGGAGGCGGGAACGCGGGGGATAACAACAAGCTCACAAACAAGTGAATGCGAATTTTCTAAAATAAAAAAGGAATGGAATGAAAAATAAAAACAAACATACACAAACTGACACACAGCAAGGAGAAAGCGAGGCAAAACAAACTTTTTAAATTAAGAACCAAAGTTAAAACTCGGTGGCAAAAAAAAAATAAAAAACACAATGGGAACGGGAATGATTGGAGTGGAGTGTGGCAGCGGTGGAATGCTGAAAATACTTGTAATGCGACGACATTTATGAGACCACGCCAGGCGTTGACATGTCCCCCATATCATTCCACTTCACCTTCTATTATTTCAATTCACATTGGAGCCCTCTGATCTTTCGGGCCATGTTGCAAGTGGGAGAAATGCCGGGGAGTTCCAAGCACTTAGACAAGCAGCTTTGCAAGTCGACAGCGATTTAAGCTTGGAATTTAAAAATTCTAAAGTCAGCTTCCAGCTTAAATTTTGAAACTTTTAAATAACGTTTTAAAGGTAGGTACTGCTGGCAGGAACTGTGATAACTCAAAGTTCTGCTGGGTGTTTTTTAAAAACTAAAATCTTTCATATATTTTCAATGTAATAAACAATTTTTTCTTAATCGTCTTAGATATCATAAAAATGGAGATTGTGCCTTTACCTAAATGGTATTTATAGGTATGCCATACCAAAGGCAAATATCTTAAGAATTATTAATATATATTAAGGACGATAAGTATGTCTTTGTCCCCTTTTGCAATTACTTCTCTTGCTGTTATGACCTGACTCGCGCATAAATCACCGCACTTTAACATAAATCAGAGCCCCTTGTCGCAGACCCTCCATTCTGCAACTCGAATGAACTTTCGCCTGGCCTACCCTAAATGACCATTCAGTTATCCGGGGACAGGGGCAGCATTTCATCCTTTGAGGCACTCGCTGACCCGACATTACGCGCTATCGTGGTTCGTCCAGGCGAACTCAACATTCTACCTTGACACAATTCACGGACCGTTAGGCAGGCGACAACGAACATTTTAAATGCACACACCACTATGATGAGAGCACTGAGAGAAATCGACTAAAAAGTGTCTAAGAGTATGCAGTGGAAAATTGATAGTTAGACCTGAACATTAATTTTATATGAAATAGTTTGTAGCATTCTTTTCGGCTCCATTTTTAATTCCCTTTTGACCCTAGAGATCAGTTAAGTATAACTGTTTTTGGTGAAGGCCTTGGCTGTTTCTTTCTCTGCAATTGAGAAAGAGACAGATGGACAAGTGTCGAAAGAGAGAGCAGGACATTAATCTAACCCTCTGTTGTTGTTGTTGGCAGTGCCGCATTTTGACGCAGTTGCATTTGCTGGCGGGCAGGCTTTCACTTAATTATACATTTTATATGGTGCATTTCTATGGCTGCATTTTTAATTGGCCAGCAGAGACAAAGTGTCGACCGACTGGCACTAATAGCAATCCAAGTTGAGGGGATCTGGAGACACATTCTATATATGTAAGCTGATGAGGAGGCAGAGGGAGCTGAAAACAATGCCATATGGAGGAGACGCCGCTGGCGTAGACGCAGTGCATTTAAAAGACAATGCGAACAGCAAACTGTGTGAGCCACCCACAACCACCCGACAACCCTCACCCACCCAAGACACATCCCGCCTGCATCCCTCCCCTGGTCATAAATTTTATGCATTTATGTAAACGGTTAACTATAACAGGAGCTGAATGCCCACACTGGCATTTAATAATAATAAATCGTTGCATTTGTAATGATTTCGTTGAGGAAAATGTATGTTTAATATATAATATATTATATTATAGCTTCAGTCATCTATTAAATTTACATCGATTTTAGGGAACATATTTCTCGTTACATAGATTTTTAAAGTATTTTTCCAAATAAACATTTAAACTAAAGAATTATTCACAATTATCTAGCTAAACATGTCCATTGAAACTCATTATAATATAAAATTAAAGCATTTATATAAATTGCAATACTTCTAAATAATTTTAAGGCTTTTCTTTATTGATTCAACCTATTAGGCCACATAAGAACTGTCCCAAAATAAGCAAAATTAAGGTATATGTTCGTATCTAATTGAAGTGTTTTTGATGAGAGTAAAATATCAGAAAACATGAAAGTATTTTATCGATCAGAGACACATTCTTAATTTAAGATACATTTTTTACAGTGCATTCCCTTACCCACCCCTCGACTACCATTCGGTTAAACGCTTTATGGCGCAAACACAGACGCTCAGCAAAACTCTACTCAACTCACCCGTCCCAGCGTATTGTTGTCGTGTATCGCCTGCTGCAGGATCTGCAGATTGTAGCTGGTGAACGATAACCAAATCAGGTCACCAGGATATCCGTGAAAGTGGTACGTGCATGTCGTATTCGGCGGAAGCGTGTGACGCGGACTCACAATGCGTCCCATGCGACCGCGACGCGAGAATAGCACATCATCTGGAAAAATGGAAAAAAGGCAGGGGAGTGAGTGTGGAAGATTATAATATTCACATATAGTATATATATATATATAGGATATAGATATTTATGTACACCGATATACACAGCAGCTCGTCCTTCTCGTCGCTTTTTAATATGTCCTAAGAACGTTGTATGACAAGCGGCTTACACGTGATTTAGGTTAATTTACAATGTGTGCCTGGCTGGGGTTTTGTTTTTATATATATTATTTTTATCTCTGTTTGCAGATAGTTATTACAAAATACAAAGTAAAGGGAATAACTCATCAAATGGAGATCGAGCTCTAACATAGAATTAAGACTTTGTTAGTTTAATAATTTGTAGAAAAAGACTAAATGAATTTGATGAGCTCCTTTAAAGGACTCATCTGCTCGTGGGTAATTTTTCAGTATAACCTAAATTTTTTGGTAGAATTCTAACCCAACCGTATCATCATTAATCACACCCCACTTTGTGCAACATTTGAGATGAATACAATGTTAAAGCTCCGGCAGTTGCCTAATGTTGCAATTCCGGCTCTTGGCTTTAATTAAAGTTGCCAAAAGGAAGCGGCAACAAAGAGCAGCGAAACGAACCGGGCTAACAACGCGGAGAGCAAACCAAAACCCAGAGCTACACAGCCTCGGCCTGGGACAACTTTGGCAACTTTTGATTCAAGTGACAAATTAAAAAAGGCAATGGGAGCAAAACAACGCCGCAAAAAGCGGAGGAGCAAGGCAAAAGGCAACATCTACTCGGCGTTTCAATTGGCAAAAGTCGCCACGTTTTGTAGCAATGCGGCAGCAGGAAAAGCTGGGATGGAGAAACAGGGGGAGGGTATTCAGAGGAAAAGCGGCGCTGGGTGAAGTGCCAGTCGATATAAAGGAAACAATCGTCAACGGTATCGATGATAACACCTGCGTCGATTCTAGCCGCTGCGACAGCTTTTCCAACTTCCCAGCGAAAGAGGCCAAAAGACTTTTGATGTGTGCCGTGCCGCATCGAGTGGCAGACAGAAGGGAAAAGTTGCTGCAGCTGCCACAAGGCAAAAGTTGTCGGCCCACTGAGCTGCTACTCTCTTTTTTGGATGCGGAGGGGAGAAGTTGAAGAATCAAGCCAGTTGGAAACCTGCTCCCCCCAGTCGAATACACTTTAAAAATTGTGGTTAATAAAAGCTCAATGGTTATCGTTAAGTAACTGTGTTCCAATTAATTATGTTTAGAGTTTCTCCTAAGATATATCTTTTGGATTTGAATAAGTAAGAAGGAACTAAAAACTTTACTAGTACGAAAAGAGTCCCCAAGCTTAACAAATCTTGTAACTTTAAGGTACATTTTCTTCAAGTGTTCTGTATGCGAGAGTACTAGCTAAGTAATACGTTTTTATGAGATTTTTATTGTCACATTTCGCTGGTTGTGTGGCATATAAAAGTAAAGTGGCCTTTAAACATGAGCTGCTCTCTTGAAAGCAGCGAAAGCAGAATGGGAGTTTAAAAAGCGTTGCCTACATTCGGGCGCCGAGGAAGTAAGCCGCGGGGATAATATTTACGCACATTGTTTTTGAAACCTCGAATCCATTGTTCATTCGATTTCTGTCATTTGAAATATACAAATCAAATTGAACTCGCATTTCAAATGCATGAGACAGTATGATTTTTTAGGCCCTTCTGCGCATAGTGGCTCAACCAAAGTGAACATTCATTAAATTTGCAGTCGAAACTGTCAACAGAAATCTCAATAACATTTTTCAACTAGCTGGGGAATTGTGATTTCACATAGCAACTAAAATGCTCAAAATAATCGACAACTCGGCACACGAAAGATACACATACACCGACGGGCTATAGGTGTGCATATTCGAGTGTGTGCGAGTGTGGCAATGCATATGGCACATGAAATGTAATCATTGGCCATTCCTGCCATGGCACCTGAATTAGTTAACAGATGGCCTGGAGCACTCATATCTAGAGATGGCAATATGACTCTTGCTAAAACTAATGCTGGCAGGAATTTGACAAAATACATGGATTTCTATTGGTATTTTAATAATGAAATAATATTTTGGAATATTAGTTTAACAAAAAGCAGTTCCTCAAATTAGTTAGAACTTTCCCAACATAAAGCTATATATTTAAGTACAACTTTCCAACTATTTTTCAACAGATATCATATTATAATCATTATTCGATTCCCTTGAGATTAGGACTTATTCTACATAATTATCTGATTATTTGGTTTCTTCTTTAAGTAAAGTAAAGCTGAATTTCTTACATCTGTATATAGAAGTTTTTCTTCTCACACAAGTAATAGTATCGAATGGCACTCAGAAAAAAGAAAAATACACGAGCACACCTCTAATTTCCGCTGGAACTCAGCTGGCTACAGTTGCACGAGTTGGCTGTAATAAATTTCGCTTCGACACATTTGCGCTGACTGCGTGGGCCCTACAACAATGAGTGTTCCTGGCTACAGGACCCTCTGATATATATATATAGATACTTATATATCGCCACTATATAGTCACACATACACACGCACGGAAATAATTCAAGCCAGTGCGATTCGCAGGCGAGACTGTGTGGGTGCGTAATAGTAGCAATAATAATAATATGCTTATCAGCTGGCCATAAAGTGCGACTATCGAGTGGCAACACTGGGCAGACAGGTGTGTTTGTGGGGGCAGGCGGAAACCCTGGACCAGGTATAGGAAACCGCAAGCGCTGCCAATAAAATTGTTATTTCTGCGATTTATTATTAGAGTGCATTTGGGCCGCCGGCGGTGGCGAAATGTTGGCAAACGACGGACGAGGGCCAATGGTGGCTGGCTTTTGTATTTTTTGCCTTGGCCAGAGACCGCAAAATGTAGTCGCAACACATTTGGGGCATTAAATTATGGGGTGTTACTTTTATTGATTGCAGGGGCGCAATGGAGGAGAAGCTGGTCCTGGAAGCTAACTATTGCTGATTGAGTAGCATTTCCATTCCCATTCGCATTCGCATTCGCACTTCCCATTCCCATTCATGCCCATTTTTCCCGTTGATTGTTTATTGGATTGCCGCAGTGGTTGTTGTTTTTCGATTTTCGAGGGCGAACCCTGGCGCAAATTAAATAGAACTCGCCCCCGCAGGCTGTTATGTATATATATATATATATCTGTATATCTGGTATATCGGCCCAGGGCATAGAATTCCCCAACTGGGCCTGTTTATTTTCGTTCTATGCTGCATTACATTCAACACATTCAAACAATTAGCCAGACCAAAAACCGAGCCGAATCGAGACTATTTCCAAACAGGAGCATTTAAAATGCAGAGGGTCCTGCTGCGTATATATCACTTAATGGATTGTCACGCATATTTGATGCCGCTGAATTGGTTTTTGTTGAATTGCCGGTAAATCGCCATAAGCCTAATGGTCATTCAACATTAAATTGATGAATTTTCCAGACGCTTTGGGCTGATATAAATTCGTTTCTTTTATTTTTTAGTTTTTTATCATTTTATTATGCATTTATTCAAGTCTAACTTAGCTTTCTAAGTGACTTATTTTAAGCAATTTAAAACCTTTTAAAGATTTATAATTAATATAAAGATTAAAATGGATTTTGTAGTAGTTTTGGATTTATAGGAATATTATGTTCCATGATGAAAACTCTTTACTACCAAACCGGCATGCAACCAAATTAAAATACGAATTTCGATGATGGTTTTTGTGTAACCAAAGTAAGCCCAAAATAAACATTTTTAAATTTACCAATAACCAAAATGATTGCAGCCAGAAAATAATAAACCCGAAGCCAAAAAGCGAAATATGATTGGCCCGGCGAGCAGAGCAAATTAAACGTAATAAATAATAAATGAGAGGCAAACAAAAACAAACATTTTACGCCTCAAACCCCTTGCCCCAGTTTTTGGCAACACATTTACGTATGTGCATCAGATCGAGCAAGTTAATTATGTTTTTGTGCCCGACCAAAACCGAAATTTACCAAATTTACGAAATTTCCAGCTGGGGGCAGAAAGTAGCATAATAAATATATGCAGAGGCATGCCCCATGTCCCCAATGGAAATATTCGCATTTCGAGTGTTTGCCCTACTAATTAATTTCCATGGAAAATTAAGTTGCCAAAGCTTTCAGCCAATTAATGTTTGGTTTCGCCAGAGTTAAAGGATTCAGAAAAGAGAAATTCAAATTGATGAACGCCCTTTAAATTCGCCTTTCTTTGCAAAACATTTCCCGGTAAACAAGCTGTAATATTTTCAATTTTATTTGCCTAAAAATCAAATCCCACAAAAAATGGCATACAGTTAATAGGAAGCTGCAACAATTTTGCTCTTCATTGACAAATTCACGTTTAAATATTGATATTACAGAAAAGCGCATACACACACATGCGAAAGCACACATACACTCCCTCGCACACACACACATCTACATTCGAATGCAAATAAAATGTTGCCGTTATGTGCAAATATGCTAATTTGTTGTTTGCCAATCATCCGCCCATCCCCCGACATCCTCCCTTGGCCATTTCTGTTGTTGTTCTCTATTGCTTCCTCTTCCCATCCGCTGATTGCAAACAAAATTGCAACTCAATAAGCAAACTAAACAGCAAATACTCGCCAGCTCCGCCAACATCGCAATCCCATTTCCTTCGACTTTCCCCCCTGAGAGCCATGAGGAAAAACCAGAGAAATCCAACCGATATCAATGTATGCGGTTGCGTGTCTCGCAAACACCAAATAAGATTTAATTGCCAGCCATTCGGAAAAACTGTTTCTACTTAACTGCTTTAAGTCGGCTGGTGCTGGGATATTTAATAAATATACACAAAAATATATTAAATTGTTTAAATAAATGATCTTCTTTTATAATATTACATTATAAAACACTTTAAATAAATAAAAATATCGGATGTTTAAGTGAAATTTAAGTTTGCAAGTTACAAAATGCCATTCCCCTAATTAAACATATTTGTTTTCCCACCTAAAAAGTGTTTAATTAGCATGTTTACCATACAAATTTTAATCAACTAATGTGGGTGTTTTCCATAGCCGTTTTCCTCTTTTTTAATCCTTTTCATTTCACAGAACACCTTTAATTTAACATATTACCGCCCCGACCAACTTTTCACTAACACATTTAATAAAAATTTCCTTTGTCTTTGGCCGCCGTTCCACGCTTCATTGTTTGCTTTCCCTTTCTTTGTTTTCGTCTGTTGACTTTATGAAATTAAAAAGGAAAATTTCCACAAACGTTCACAGGGAGAAATGAAAAAGAAGGCAACAAAATTGAAAGGTTTTGTTTAAAGTTTGCTGAAAAACTTTACAAAACTTTAGGTGTAACAACAGCTGAGGGCGGCGCTGAAAAATGGCCTGGGTTGGGGGTAGGGAGTTGGGAGTTGGGTGGTCTTAGGGGAAACTTAGGTTCAGCGGGGCGAATCGGTGATTCCCCCAACTATGTCATCAACAATAATCCGTAAATCAATGAACAGAAAAACGGCCAAGGGACGACTGGCTAAACTCCGGCTGTCAAATAAAGCTAAAATTGAAATGTTGAAAGTTGTTTAATCCCGAGCCCTTTTAAAAGGTGTTTAATTTATAATTCCTTTATGAATATTAAGAAAAATGGTAATTAGTAAAGAAATAGGAAACTTGAAAAGTAGAAAATGTGAGAAATTATTTTACACAAACAATCTAAAGTTTTTGTACTGTGATGGAATATTGTTCTGCCATAGTTCGAAAGGCTAAAGCAGGATGTAATTGAAGACACTTAAAGCCTGATTTAGTCCTAGAAAATCTCCAGAAAAATCCAGATTCATAGCAAGTTAGTAACATTTTTAAAGAGATTTTTAAGAATTTCTTAGGGTTAAATCCCGAATTATTCCCCGTTTGTATGGCAATAAATTGCCAACATCTGTGATTCCCCTTTTCTCGATAACTGCTTGCGAATTCCTCTCGTGCCTGCTTAGTAGGCATAAATGATTTGGGCAAATCTTACAGCGATTTCATATATAGGATAATTTATTTGCCAATTCTGATTGGCGGCGTTCGATGTGGGAGAGGGAGAGAGCAAGTTGCCATGGCAATGGTCATGTCAAATATACGCCAGATGAAGTTTTTCCCGCTTTTGTGGGCGGTTATTGCATGTGAAATGTGGAATGTTTGGCTGGAGTTGATTAGCACTAATTAGGGAATCCGGATAGAATCGAATATTGATTGGGTCAGATAACGCTTGGCTGACGAAGAAATCCTTTTAGCAAATAATTGGATCGGCAATTGGCAGCTATGACAATCGTCCTTTTGGCCAAGAACTTGCGATGAATTCTGCGATGGCGAATTCTCGGCGGTGTTATTGCGATCGATTTAAGCATACTTTAAACGTTTACAAGGGCTGTCAGCGGGAAATGCAAGCAAACAAAAATTAATTAAAATCGACACCACACACACACACACACTGGGAAAACCCAGAGGGTTTTCTTTTCTGACTGGGCGAAAAGTTGCACATTTAATTAAAGTTAATTGAAAAAGTTATGGCCAAATCAAACTGAATTAAATATGCAACAGATTCGGTTGCGCAATCAACGCAATGACTGAAATCGGAGCCAAACTTTCCAACACAAAACATCTGCATCTGCAGTTTATTAATCATACGCCGCGTGGCCCCTCCGCATTATTTGCATTGAATATTCTACGAGAATTCTATGGAAACCGCACGCTGATGATTATGTACAACATTGCAATGACCTTTGCTGTTCATAATAAATTGTCCTTGTTTCAGTCCCACCCACCTACTCCTACTCCTCCTGTTAGAAATTTTCAAATATTCAAATACAAATGCATATTGAATTTTTGCCTCTTCATGCTTAATGATGTTGTTGTTTGTGTTGCAAAAAGCAGTCGTTGGCAGTGGCAGGGGCAGGAGCAGGGGCAGGGGCAGGGGCAAATAAAACCGCACACAGCGAACAAATGAAAGCAAAATGAAACGATAAATATTTGGTTTTCGTTAAAACTTTAATTAAAATCATGTTGCACCCCCCTAATAATTTATTTGTATCGCGCAATGCTGCCACTGCCCCTTTGCCCTACCCCCAATCCTCTTGAAAATGTTAGCTAAAGGGGCGTGGTGGCGAGGGTGTGTGCGTGTGTCGATAACAAAACAATTATACCGCCTTGTTTGCCCGAATTGTTGGCCAACTCCTTCTAACTCTCGCCCCTTGAACGCCGCTCGGCTCCTTGGCCATTATAAATAAATGTTTCATACGCTGGCCGAGCTCCGCTAATTGAACATGCCGCAAAATGTTGCACGAAACTAAGGAATTCGCAGCATATTTTCAATTTGGTCAAAATTTGCTTTAACGGAATGCGATTTGTTATTTCTAATTGGTTTCTTTTGTGGGACAGAACAGATGTTTTCATTACCTTTAAAATGTCTATTTGGTATTTCATTAGTCATTGTATTATACTATAACTATTACAAATTAAATCAAATTAAATTATGTACAATTTGCTCTCCCTTTTCGGCTAAATCCCGTCTTTAAGCTCGTTCCCCGAATTATTCATAACTTTGATAGATATAGGAACGGAATAGCCATTGAAAATCCCCCCCTTCACTACCTAGATATATCCTCGCCTAATGATAGCAGACACATCTGCTCAATTTCCCAGCCAACGCATTAAGCCAAAGCGATGTGAAGAAGCCAAGAGAATGAGGAATGAGGCTGAAAGGCATTTCACAAAAGTTAAACGGTCAAAAATTAAGCACAAACAGAAACAACAACAGCCAAATACATATAGCTATATACACAGATATATATATATATAAGCTGGCAAGTTAATGAGCCCAACAACAAGGCGTAGAAAAGCTGTTATGTAAGGAATAGGAAGTAGGGAAAATAAACAGGGAATGAGTTGATTTGGCCCACACTTTTCCCTGCCAAAATTGCCTGCTCAACCAAAAAACTAATTTCAAATGAGAGTTCCCTCAATTTTCTTCTATTTTTTCCTTTTTTTTTTGCCAGATAAAAAAGCGTTGAGGAAAATAATAAAAGCACAGCGTTTTCGGCTTGGCCGGCAAAATAAAATCTACTCAAAAGTTATTAAGTGCAAATTAATGAACATTAGCGGCTGCCATGGCGTTGCCTACTTTTGGCCACCGCTGCGGCTGCTGCACTAAATTGATGGAGCGGTTCTGGAGTTGCCCAGTTGCCGAGTCTTCCAGCTCCTGAGTATCCCAGCTCCCGAGAGGCACAGGAGGGCAGTCTGAAATTTCATTTAATAATTTTTCAATTAAATGCAGCTGACTGCTGACCAGGGAGCATGAAATTCCAGGGAAAGCCAAGCCAATGGGAAAGCTTAGGTGAAAGATGCAGATGGATGGAGATGACGGGATAAGGGAGGGGGAAAATCATGAAAGAAGCAGCTTAGAATAGGGTACTCCTTCAAGCAGAACATTCGGTTAGTGGGGAATGCTAATTAATGTTGCCACAAGGAGCACCAGCCTTTTCCACATAAACAAAGGCTGTATTTTCAAGTTCTATTGAAGAACTCAACTGTTGGGCTTTAAAGATATTAAAAGAAAATGTTTCCAATATAAACTAAGATACAAATATTAGAAAATAAGAATATAATGCATACTTTCCATCAACTTTATATACAACCACATCTCAGACATTTAATTTCCCCCATCTCTGCCTGAAATCCATTCCAAACATTATCGCTGGCCAAGCAATTACTCATACTTTTCTTTTTGGCCGCCACATCAAGTCAAGCCTAAAAAGCCATTTGGCCAGCTTAAGGCTCGGGTTTCCGTGGGGGTTTCGTCTGGCCTTGAATTTAATTAAAATCTCATTTAGCCTGCTTAGATTAGTGCCAAAGGCTAATAGAGGCAGCATAGTTGCGGCCACGCCCATTAAACTACGACACCTCCTCGCCCCCGACGCTTAACAAAAACACGGAAGGGAATTGGCCTTCGACATCTGATTGTTTTTATGGCAATTAAGCAGCCAACGGAGTGTTCACTCAAGGAACATTCATCAGCAGGCAATATAAATAATAATTTCCAGTTGGAAACAAAGAAAAGGACGTACTCCTGCGTTTAATAAAGAAAACGATAACCAGAAGAGGAGTAATTCGAAAAAAGTTGCGAAAGAAGAGCCAATTGCGAGGAGTGAAAATGGGAAATGGAAAATGGAAAATGCAAAGTGCTGACCCAGTTGATAGTGTCCTTTCTGGGAAAGTTTGCCGCACCTGCACCTGCAGCTGAGCCCCGCATTAATTGCCATTAATTATGGTTATTCATATTCATTTGTGCCCCTCTCTCTCCTCTTACCTGGATTCGAGGCATTTATGTGGAACTCGCACAGGTTCTTGGTGCCCTGTGCAAAGTCAAACGAGTCCGAATCGGTGAAGAGTATGTCCACGTCCAGTTCGAAGCCCCGATTCGGGATTCCCTGCTGCAGAGGCGCTGAAAATGGGCTCGAGTGGAAGGCCACCAACATCTCAGGGCCACTAGAAGAGAGAGAAATATACGGAAAATTAATTATTAATAATTATTTGGAAATAAAAACAATGAATGTGTAAAATAGAAGTTATTTACATATATATAATAAACATACGCAGCATTTAGAGACTGTATAATCCAGAGCTAACCTTTTCTTAAACAAGTTGTTAGAAGTGTCTATCTATTTATCCTTATTTACTGTCAAATTATTGGCACCAAAACCTCGCTTAACTTATAAATAATCCTGAAGGATGTATCAATTGACAACGTTTATATCTAATTTAAGACAGACAACAAATAAATTTGATTTTCGGGACACTTCAGAGATACCCAAACTGCTTAATGCTTTCCTCAATCGCTTCATCACGTTCTATATTATTATTAAATTCAGCTCAATATTGGCTTAGCCGTTTGTTTAAAATTCTATAACACTTGGACATGAGTGGCGACCACCCGGGCCACAAAAACTTTTCGCTAAGAAATCTCAGAAGTTTTCCCCATCGAAATATCGCCCATACGGCCCGTGGTATCTTCTGGTGGCTGTGCCTGTGATGTTTGTCCATAACCAGGCCACTGGCACTCCAATTAGAGGCGTGAAAAAACTTCAGCTCACATAAATTTAATTTGCACAATTCGGCAAACAAGAAAAGTCGTAAACTTTTTGCCCACGAAAGAGGCAACAAACCCAAAACAGGCAACAAAACAGCACAAACAACAATCTCGGTGGGCGTTTTGCCAAAATGCCGACCGACCGCGCCCAAAAGTATGACGCAGTGCCTCTGCCGCTTTGTTTTGGGCTATTTAAAGTGTCCGCTCCGTCTGGTTGTTTGCATTTTTGCTGCCAAATTAACTTTTTTCGCCATTGTCTCGTTGGTGGGCGGTGGGGGCGCTGGGATTTGGGTGGTGGTGTGCGAAAGTTTTAGGCAAATTTTTTGGCATAACAAAGTAACTGAGTCGAGTTGGGCCAAAAATTTCGCCGTTTGTCTTTTGATTTTTCTGGCCAAAAATTATGAAATGCCATTCGCTAGTGGGTGTTGCACCAAAAGCATTTTCCACCCCCTTGTATTTTTTGTCTGTATTTGCAGACGGCGCGACGCCAGATTTTTTGGGTACCGGAAAAAGGAGGAGCAGCTGCCATGCCAGTGACATCGAGTGTTCATAAACTTTGAGTGCTTGCGAAAATTATAGATGCGATTTTTTACAGATGGTATTTATTGAATTAAGAGTGGCCAATGAAAATATCACTAAAAGAATTACAACCTTCAAGTTATAAAGGGTTAATAAGACCATTTTGGAGTTTTGTGTAAAGAAGGGATTATTATATTGATTGGAAGGTTCCCGAACCTAATGAAAGGAATATTTAATACACTTTACTTATTTGCAATGCCTAAGAAAGTATGTTATTTGTGGCCATCTTCATGTTTGGCCAATAAAACGAATGCAATTCTGATAAAAACACATCTTTATGAGTTTAAGTTATGCAGCACTTGAGGAATACTGAACGCAGGTTTCTAGAGCTCTCCATCTCCTTAACATGCCGCATTCATGACCATATAAATTATGTTCAAAGTTTTCAATTTAAACATCAAATTGAATTTTTATTGCCCGGGCAAGAGGTGCGCACACACGGCGTATGCGTAATATGGCATGACATAAAATAAAACGGAAACTGAGCTCCCCTTATACTCATGCACTCACTCCTACATACACACACATACGCACCCACCTAAGCCAAGACTTTGAACACTTAAAAAGAAACGCTCACGCAGACGATGTCAAAAGCCATCAAACATGGCCAACAAAATGGCTTTTTAATACGTGTAAGTGTGGCCAAGTGTGAGTGGCAAAGCTCCTTATTATTTAAGCGAAACGTGCTCTTAGATAGGGGCGTGGGATTAGGGGGCGGGGAATGGGGTCAGGGGTCGGGGAGCAGCTGCAATGCCTGTTGTCAGTGCCAAGTGCAATAAACTGCAAATGAAAAGTAAATTAATTTTTAATAAAGCGACACAAATGTTTGGTCCCCACTCGGGCCTCTGGAATTCAGCTGGGTAGTGTCCTGGTTGCTTGGGGATGTCCTTTTCACATGGGCTTGTGTGTGAGCTGGTGTACTCGAAAAAAGCTGTTGGTTTTTCTATTTTCCGTACTTTTAACTTTACGAAGAAGTAAAGATAGTAAAAATATTCTGAATGTATTCACAATGCTGTGACTAGACTTTTGAAATAATTTATCAACCAATTTTTAGTCTAAGAAATGAAAATATTTCTAAAAACTAATTTTAAAATTTCTCAAAATTTTCCTCTGTGTGAATGTCGGTTTGTACGCGTACTTGCGTGGCATTTGGTTACTTTATGGCCTGCGGCACACTTGTGGGTGTCGTAAAATCAACACGAATCCATAGCCAAGTTTCCTCCATGAACTCACCACTACCACCCGAGCTCTGCCCCAAATCGCTGTCCCTTTGTCGGTTATCAATACACGTAAACTCCTCCGAAGCGTCAGAGTGTCCTGACCGCAAATGGCAGCACTGTCCTCCCTGAAAACCTCCCTCGAAATTCTATGGAACTGCGGTTACCAAGGCTGCTCTGGGGGCTTTTGAAAGCCTGGTGTTTGGAGGAGGGCTCACGACCAGACGGGAATTTCAAGTGATTAAGGGGCCCGTGCCTAAGTGAATTATAAGCAGTTTGGGATACAGAATCATGGATGCCTCGATCGAAAATCAAAAACAGTTGATTAAACTAGTTTCAAATATGACAATTATCTCAATGAATTGCATGACTTGGCTTAAAAGCATCTTAATTCCGATAACCATTGTTTTCTCTTAAATCGATGAGAATGTTACCCTCTATAAAAATCAAAAGGAGTTACCTGGAATCCTTACATATTTAAACTCTTAAAGTTTAGCCCTTTCCAGTCGAAATCTTCCGACCGAAAATTAGTATTAACCAAAAGCAAACATTTCGCTTTCTTTCCACGATTTTCATCAAGTCTAATCCGCAAAGTGCAACCACGAAAAGCAGGTGGAGCGGAAAAGAGGAGAAGTGAAAGAGGGGGAAAATTTACGCCATAAAAAATTAATATGCAATTTAAAAAGTTATCGCTTTGAGTTTTTCTTTTCTTGGCTAACAAAAATTAACATTTACTTAGAGGAAAATCAACAGCTGGTGCTGCTGCCGCTGCAGCGGAGAGAAAAATACAACTTTTCCAGCTTTTCCTTCCCACATTTCCAAAAACATAAAAAGGGAAGAGCGGAAAAAAAAGCCCAATAAAATACCAACGTCTCACGCCACCTTTGGCTTGTTGCAATTTTAAGTTGCGCTGGGAAATTAATAATTTTCATGTAGCTTTTCCGACACCCCTGCTACTCTCCCACTTATTTTCCCAGCGTCCTTGTGTGCATATGCGATTTTCGTACAAAGTCAGAGAACCGTGTCTGAGGTGAGAAGCAAAGCGAGAGATGTTTGCAGATGGAAAAGGAAAAAGAGGACTTTCCTCGGCGCGTGTGTGTGTGCATTTATAATTCGTGTGTTCATGTCGCGTATGACGTGACACAGTGCACTGGAAAAATATTAACTTTAATACATTTTAAATAATTAAAAGATTATATTTATGTGCCAAATTCAGAAATGAAAGTTTGATTGTTCACCACTCTTAAGTTTAATATTTCTTTGTACTAAAACATTTTACTTAGCAATTAATTGGTTGGGCAATAAGAGCTCATTTCCTCTCAATCTTTACCATTTCAATTTAAGTTTGATCCATTTATACTTAAGAAAAATATTTTTATAAGTTAAACTTAGTCATATCAAAAAAAAACAGGGCCATTTTATTTCATAAGACATTTAATCACTTAAATAAATACCATAATAGTAAAAAACAGAAATCCTTTTTCGTGTTTCACTCGAAGAAGTATATGGAAAATGAGTGCTGCTCGGGCTGAAGGAAAAGTGTGGCATGAGCTACGGTCTTGGCTTCTTAATGCCGTTTTTCTTGGGCACCCACTTTTCCATCAAGTTCCCTGAGCGTCTTTTGCTCCGTTCGTTTTCTCCTTCATGTGCATATTACGCTCTATGCATATTTGATGTGCATTCCCCACTTTCCCCACCAACCCCCTCTCTGCCACCTGTGCACGCTTATAAGATTTTCCCAAGGATACGGAAAGGATGTCAATAAATGCGAGAGTGCAACTCATTAAGAGATTAAGGGGCCCATGGCAAAGCGATCATCATCATTGCGCCATCTTTGTAAAGCGTTATATATAAATGTGTAAAAAACTAGTTAATAAAATATTGTCAGCCTTGGCAAAGAAATGGGAGAGTACCACAAGTTTGGAGCTTGAATTAATATGACTTGAGACTAAGATTACAGCTAGTAACTTATGTGAAGTTTCTATACCAACTGAAGATCATAAGGGAAAAAATATTACTTGGTCAAGTAAAACTATTTATTTTAGTCACTAATGGTAATTTTTTCTGATATAAAGTAAATATAATTCCCTGGAGTTATATTTGTATTAATTCTTATTATCGTAGGGTAGGAACATAAATTTAGCAGTAAGCTCGAAAGTAGGCAACACATTTTTTCATCCATATACAATTATTTTTGAAATTGATTTTTTGAAGCACCTTATGTTTTCACAGCTGCATGAACCACCGAAATCCAAACCATATTCCACTAAAAAAATCAGAGTTTATGTGCATGTCTCAAGAGGTCACCAAGTGGGCAGAGGAGACTCTGGAAAAGAGCAAACTTTTGGCCCTGACCGAAGACCAAAAGACAACAAAAACAAATTCTCAAGTGCAAGATAAATGGCCAAAAGGCGCCGTCAAAGGGGGCTTAAGGTGGTTACAGGAGGGGCGTTTTGGGGGCGACTAGGCCACTTGAATGCCATGGAAATACGTGGGCGTGGCTAAGAGTTGCATTCTAACATTTTAGGTCTGTCCTAGAAGTGTTTCTAAAGGGCTTCGAGAGCAGACTCCCAAGAATTTATGACAATCTAAACCCAATGAGTCGGTAGTTTAGTATTTTTGGTGATAAATGGGTTACATGCTTTATGGGGATTAAATTATTCTGGTAACCTAGTGGGACATAAGATGTAGAGAGAGGCTTTGCTGTCTAGATTCCATTTGTTTATTAATTTATACACTTGACTAATTCACTTGGGAACTTCATTGATATCTAAGGATAAGATACTTAATTGGTAAATGTACTTTATTTTAATATCTTTATCCTTTTCAAATTATTATCAAAATATAAAATAGCCCAAAAAAACCAAAAACATTTCTTCCTTTAAAAAATTAAAATACATCCAATCTCGAAAGGCTGAAATCTTGCTAACCAAAAGTAGACTTCCTAATGAGCGAACCAGTTCGACCAACTAATCCAAAACTACGCCGATTAGTAGTTGCATTTTAATTGCTTGAACCGAGCTCCAGGAAGCCGCAGGTGTGCATGTGTATGCGCTGAGAGTTGGGAAAGTTGAAATTGCTTCTGAAAGGCCGGGGTGTCTTTAAGAATTTATGGCTGATGATCTAAATGCTGGCAACTTGGAAACTAATGAGCAAAATTTTGCCATTGCATAAATCACATGCATCAAAATGTTTTCAATAGATGGCACTAGCAAAGTTTCAACCGGCAGCATAAATCTATTTATTTCTATGTGTGCGCCAGGATGTTTTCTATTTTCTGTGGCTGTGTGTGCTAGTGCATCTGTATCTGTATTTGTATCTGTATCTCGGATTTCGCATCTCTTTTTCACTTTTCGCTCCGACTGCCTGTCGGTCGATCTCAGTGTCTGTCCTTCGGTTACTGTCTGCAGAGCAACCCAATTTCCGGTTTTGCTTAAGCATTGCGCACAATTGTAAGGCGCACACACACTCTCTCGCCTGTTTTGTATCTGTGTGTGTGGGTCTTTGTATCTATGTGTAACTGAATTGGAACACATGCGCCCCGAGCCAAAACTGCAGTGCAGTGCACTAGGCTGCGGTCTCCAACTCACACACACATGCCCAACAGTGATGCGGAGAAGGGGATTCGCTTTTCTCAGTGATCCGAAAACCACTTTTTTGTAGCTACACTGATTAGGTAGTGCCGTATTCTTTTCTTTAGATGGTTCTAAATTTTCTTCTTAGTTTTGTCTTAGAATTTTTAAATCTAATAAATCATTAAAAACGCATTTAAATAAAATTAACAAATTCTAGGCAGCTTCAGTATGTTTGATAGTTTAGCTTCCCCTTCTAGGTTAATAGAAGCGTAGAAAGCATTAAGATTTAAATAAGGTAAAAGGCAATTTTGGATATATAGGTACTGCCTTGGGATCGTTATTATTTTCTAAACAGGTTTTCCTGAAAATTTCTTTATGTATTTTCATTTTGAAATTAGAGGTCTTTTAAAAGCTCTTTTCCTTTTCATACATCTTACATTATATGTACCCATAATACCATGCCTCATAATAGTTAGAGAGCACTTTGTGCCATCACTGTAGTCCTTACACACACCATTGCATAGTGGCACAATCTCACACACACATGCTCATTAAAAATGTCTGTCTATCTTTTCTTGTAAATGTATTATGAGCTTTGCTGTGCTCATATTTAACTTTTTCATAAAAGGGAGAAATGGCGTTAAATAAATGTCCTATGTCTGTCTGCCAGTTGGTTCCCTGCCACTCTGCTGGATCCCTGCCCCTCTTTTGCCTCTCTCCCTCTGATTAAGATGAACAATGATATTCCAACATCATGATATTCTGTAAAATAATGCGGAAACTTTTCGGTGCGATTTTCCAGTTGGACTTACCGTGAAACGACGCGTGGCAACCAATCTCCTCCGCAGTATTTGGCCAAAACAGGATCGTTGGTAGAGCTGCCGTCGTAGAAAATTAAATGGTCCCGCTCGCCTGTACAGTCCGACCAGGCTCGGATGGACCGTGAGGTTTTATTAAAGCTGGCTATCGAGCTGTGAATGTGGGCGGGAAAAACAGAAATCATATTGGAAAGGTAAGCCAAAGAGCACGAACAATATGTACAATTGAAAAACGGAGAAAAGCAATCAAATCGAAATGCAATGAAAACATTTTCATTTGCCAAAGCCAGGCTATAAATTCACACAGCGGGGGTCATCAAAATAGTAGAGTTTGTGTGTAGAAATTTGAATGTAATAAAGTTATTACTTTAATAAATAAATGTTTAAAGATAGAAGAAAGTTATTACCTATCTGTATGATGGAAAAAGACTATTTTTCCTACTCAAAAAAGGTTTTATAACTGAATGTTAAGCAATCGTTCTAAAAATGTTATATGATTTTCCTATTTTTCAAAGATTTATTTTAACTATTTGCTTAGCTGCCTTCAAATCCCTCAGTAAATGGAAATGTCAGCTGCTGGTTACTGACTTTATTATACCTTCGACTAGAAAGCCGAGTTGTTCGCTTTGAAAATTGAAAATAAATGGCAGCTAATATCAAAAATACATTTACCTAATCCCATCAATCCAATTACAAACTTCACATGCTGCCCTTTAATACGGTTTTGCATACAAATTGCATCGGCTGGCTGGTTAGCTGGTTGGCTGCCTGGCTGGCTGGCTGTTTGCTGCATTTAATTGGAATGTACAAAACTTTTTGGGCGACGAATGCTTAACATTCTCGGACACGAAACAGTTTCATTTGTGCCGTCAGTTAACAAACTGCAAACTGGAACTTCGCTTAGCAATTTGCTAAATTGAAATTTGTCATACAAATGCAGATGCAGATGCACTTTGTCTGGCCTGACTGGGATATGAGTATGAATTGAATTCGGGAGTGGAATTTTCGGGCGGGGGACATCATGGTAATGCTTATTTAATGCTCTCCGATGCAGGTAGTCATTCGAGATTCGGATAGTGAGCACTTCCCAGCCTCCTAACTTACCGCTTCACCAAGGCCTTGTGCTGATTTTCCTGGCTAACGGCAATCATGGCGTGCTTGCTGGTCGGAACTTCCTTCTGCCGGATCGTCCAGTAGCAGGTTACGTTCCTCGGATACATGCCAGGATAATTCGGACTTTGCAGGCGACACTTGTTACGATAGCATTCATCGAATTGCCTCGTACAATAGGTGCCAGGTGTCACACGGCCCAATTCGAGCGGCTTATCGGGCAGGCCGTATCTGGAAAAAGAAGGCCAAAAGGTTCAGTTCTCAGTTCACTAAGTGTTCTGCGAGTTTAGCAATTTTCATTCTCTGTTCGGATTCGGGTTCCCATTCTGGTTCTGGCTCGTTTTTCCTTTTCAGTTTACTGGTCTGCTCCGTGCGAGTACATTTTGAATGGTATTTAAGGCCTTTCCAGCAGCACCAAAAACAACACAAAGACCTGCAATTTGCATAAAATGTGCTACGGGTATTTCACACGCACTCACGCCCACCCAGATATATACATATAGATGGTCATACCTGGGGCTCTGATCATTGTTTAGTTTGCTAATGGTGTGCACACGATTCTCGGACAACGAACGGACTTTTCACTTAGAAAAATAATGGCACTCTAGCCTTAAAAATTTTAAAGCGGATATTAAATTATAACTTAAGGTTGGATATTCCTTAATTCACTGTGGGTTAACAATAATTGAAGAGCTAGAAAATAAATATATATTATCAAAGTAGCCATTTTATTCACAACTACTGACATTTTCCAAAGTCTATAGACCACTTTCCCCCAGTGCTCAATGAAAATGAGCTCCCAGCTTGTCGGGCGTCCCACTTGCACTTGTAAATTCTGTGAAACTTATTCAGGCGTAAAAATACATTTCAATTTCTATTTTGCTCACACTCTAATTTTCCAGCTGCAAACAAAAAGCGCGACACATGGAAAAGGAAGTTCGAGGAGGGAAAACGATACGGAGACAAATTTGACACATGCCTAGGCAGAGGCACAAATGGATTGCTCTGCAAATACATGAGGTGAGGATAAAACTGTATTGAGAAACTAGACAGAACACGGGCTCATGTTTTATGCAGGCTGTCCCCTCTTACGTCTGCTCCTGCCTCCTTTTCGAATTTCCCGAAAAGCCATCCCCAAGGCAACCAAGTGGCATTGTTCTTTCAGGTAGAAAGATTTAAGTTCTAAGCAAGAACCGAGTCAGAGCCATAGCCAGAAATAGAAACATCTATGGAAAAGATGAAAACTCGAGCGGGAGAAGCTGAACCAGACTGATGACATTACCCCGGTTGGCTGACAGTAAAGGAAAATCGGAATGAGGAAAGCCGAGGAAAATGCACCGAACCAATATCAATTGAATACTTCTCAAACTGCACAGATATTTGTCAGTTTGCCAGTGCAATTCGGTGCAGCGACTTACCTCACAACTGCATCCGACTGGCTTATAAATTTATATCTTATGCTGAACTCAAAGGGCTTCTCGTCTCGGATATTGCGTGGCGGATGAAATACCTGCAAAAAAAAGGGAAAGCGCTAGTAGAATGCAATTTGAAATGTTAAAATGCCAAAAAGAGCAATCAATGTGAAAATGTTTCAACGGAAACGTGACTTGAGTTATTCTTCCTGTGATGGAAGACATCGGGAATGGCTACTTAATGAGTTTACCTATCACATTAAGCAATTTGTTTGGTCTTAAATTAAAATACCATTATGATTATGATTGACTGTTAAAAGGAATAAAAGAAAAACACAGACTGTTAGCCTACACCTTTTTTAAAGAATCTGTTAACCTTAACTTAAATGATAAAATTGTAGACCTTTCCATCGATCGAAAAAAATACAATTGGATGCTTAACGAGCACAAATTTTCATCTCCACACGCGATTTCCCTTCAATTATGCAATCTGCGATTTCTCCTTTGATTTTCCTCCATTGCCATGTCAACTGCTCATCAACACTTTGCCAGACGAGAAGTGTCTGAAGGAGTTTCCTCTCTCACATGCCGAATGAACTTTTATTAATTTTCATAATTTATGCGCGCCAACTCGACGGCAGTAACTGAAACCATATTCCCGGCCAAGAGCATCCCGTGGACGTGTCCTTTCCGTTGCCCTGTCCATTTGCCCATTTTTATGGCAGCGCGTTTATTTAAAAATTAATCAAAAAGTGGCAACGGCACTGCATGGTTGGTTGTGAATGCCTTAAGAAAATATTACTTATACGACATGTGTTGTGTGGAGGAAAAGTTTCTCAATTTAAAATGAAAATGAAAAGCAGGACATGTAAACTTTGCGATCAAAAGGAGATTTTATTCTCTGGCAGCGCAATTTAAGAGGCTGTGACTTACCAAGCAGTGCTGATGAGAAAATAAAACCTGTAGTGCAGCATCCTCGCCTTAACTTGTCTGATTTTAATATAACTATAATACTTTCTGCACTAAATCTGATTACCTTTTAATTTAAAACAAAACGAAATCATTTTCAATTTAAAATATCACTGATATTTTCATTCTTTCTAAGTAATAGTGAAGGTGAAGTCTTTTATATTGGGTTGTCTTATAATATGAAACATAAACAAATATTTTAAAGGCATTTTTAAACCATAAATACATAAATTATCAAAGTTTAAGAAACATTTTAATATATTTTTATAATTTTTGAACTTTTTACCATATTTTCCCCCATTTAAACCCATCCAAAAACCTTGAAATCCCATAATTGCTTAAAGTGACTGCCAGGGTATGTGATTTAAGCACGCTCACTGAGCCGAGTTCCCAACGCTCCAGTGTGTGCCTGTCCCTTTCCCCGCGCTCGCTCGCACTTGCACTTGCACTCACCTTCACCGACGCTGTCACCGTGGATGTTTCGCTAAAGTACAATTGCGGTCCGGTGGCCTTGCCGCACCAGGAGCCGCCGGTGAATGGGCGTCCCAATTCGCTGAGCTGCCAAGTAAATAAATAAAAATTTAATTAATTAAAAATCAAGTTTGTTTCGCTGGTGACACACCCACAGACAACCAAGCAGCAAGGCTAAAAGCAATTTCGCCCAGCTCAACAAAATGCTGCGATGCAACATTTAAAGCCGCATACGAGTATATAGTACACAGCCCGTCGCAGGCGCATTAAAAAATTGGGTTAAGTTATAGAGTTGGTATGCCCTTATTGATTTTATTGCCACTGCCGGTCGGGTAAGTGAAAAGCGAATGAAAAATTAATAAACGCACGTTACGGGGGGCCATCTGGCGTTGGGCTAATGGATTATGAGTGTGTGTTGTGCAGTGTAATTTTTTCGTTCACACCACCCCCACTCCACCCACACACTACCTCTCCAGTATAATATTTGATTGTTTTCCCTGCTTTTCCTGCAGCAGAAAAGCACGTTGCACTTGGCAGCGGCACCAAAACGGAACGTAGCCCACATTCGGACAGGTATTTTATGTATGCGAAAAACCGTTGGCAATCGTCGAAGGTGTGCGACCAGCAGCTGCCACAACACTGCATCCACATCCATGGCAACTGCCCCAGCAAGTGCTGCCCCATAAATGTATTTACATTGCCACCGAAAAAGAGACGCCCAAAGCTAGCCAAATGTACAGTGCTTGAAATATTAACCGAGTAGCAAAAAGAGTCCGTACTGTAAATGGGGTAGGGATAATGGGCTGTGAAATACCCTGTCTTGAAGTGGGATCGATGGTTATTTGGTTTTACAACAATCCTCATGTGTAAGCTAAATATCAATAAATAATTACGTAAAAGTTTAGCTTATAAATGGGTTTCTTTATGCTAAAAAAGTCTTCTAGCTAAAACCTTAGTAATGTAATAATCTTACATTTTTAGTTCACAAAAAAACACTTCTAGAATACTCGAAATGAATAAGGTAAATTTGGTATACTTTTATTTATAGGTTTTTCATTTCCTACAGTGATACTATATTTAACTCACCAACTTTTTCAATAGTGTTACTTATTATACTTTGCAAAGCTAAAGAGCAGTTCAACCTTTAGTTTAATTCAGTAGACATTCATTAGATATTTTTTCCGAACCATAACTGCCCAGCATACGCCACAAAATCACACAAATCTTTTCCCATTCGAGTGAAAATCGCTCGGTTTTGCCCCAGGACGACTGACATTTATTGAGCCCGTTCGCATAGGCAGCATTAATATTGCTAATACCAGGACGATGAGGACACTGCCAGGCCCGGTTTTCAATACTTTTTTGCTTGTGCTGCCTGCGGCCTAGGTCAGTGGCCAGCAGTCGATAAATGTGGGGATTGGAAAATGGCAGCGGCAACGGCAGCTCATTTACACTGAGGTTCCAATTGATTAAGTTTTTGGTTAATGGGTTATTTGAACTGAACCGACGACCGTTGAGGCCGGCTCCGGGCGCCCTCAATGTCCTTTCTTCCCCGGACATGTCCTGCGGCTGCCTCAAACTCAAACAACAATTTTTGCTGTAATTGCAAAGTCGCCAATCGAGGTCTGGCCAATATTTGTAACTGGTTAGAGTTGCAGTTGCACTGGAGTCCTGTCGGCCCATTGCTGCTGTCATATTGAATGGCCAGGGCAAGTCCGTCCTCGGCCATCCTCCTCTATCTCATCGACAGGATGAATAGTGGATTGGGATTGGGAATGGGATTGGGGTCGGGCAAGGGGTCCGGACAGGACGAGGGCCAACGGCAGGCTTGACTGCCCGGCATAATGGTAATTTTCTGATTTCGATTTTGTGTAAATTCATTGCAAGCTCTGGACGAGTCCTGGTCACAGGCCTTCTTCTTACACTCAGAGAGATTCGTAAATTAGAGAACGGATCTATTCTATTAGAATTTAAGGGTAACAATACTAGTAAGATATTTCACCACAAATCTAAGCTCAAAGATCAAAATTTTCCCATAGATAATATTTAAATCTAAGTTTTGTGTACTTAAGATTTTTATATATTTTTCTAAATATACCAAAAAAAAATGTTAGCTCATCAATCAATTTTTAACTTAGTCTTTTACCCAACTTCCTTAAAATTGTTATAGTTTTCTGTAACTATTAGAAATAACTACATTGCTCTAACTAATAATTGCTTATAGTTTTTTAAACTTAAAACTTTCTCCGAGTGTCCTTTTCTTTTTTTCCCTCCTCAGCTCACCCCATATCTCACCCCGAGCTCGTTCCTCTTCATCATCGTCATCATGTCCATTGTGTGCATTGGAGCGTTATTAGCATCGACTTCATAACGAATTATTGGACCTTGGTCCTTGTGTGTGTGTCCTTTCCCCCCCTTTTTGCTCCCTTTTCCATCTTTGGCCTATCTGCTCTTGCTTTTTCTGCTACGTTTTGTGTTGGTTTTAAATTGATTGAATTATTATTGTAGCCAGCTTTTTTTGGTCCGCCTATGGGTTTAATTTTAAAGGAATTTTCTTTGATTAGGCCAAGGCTAATAATGGCCTGACTTTTTGGCTAAACATTTTTCCATATGCCAGTAGGGGAAGTCATATGTTGGCCGACCTTAAGGTTACTTGAAAGTTTTTAATACAAAGTTATAATAAGTACAAAAACTAAACTTGATTTTAAAAATTAAACTTCAGGAACTATATCCTAAAGAATAAAAAACATGGAGTGGGACATATACTTATAAGGCTCACTGTACTACATGTAGCCTGGGACTTACTTAAAAGATCCACTTAACCAGTAAAACATCCAAAGCTAACTGTAAGCTTAATATTGTTATCCCTTTCTAGCATATGCAATACCAAAAGAGATCGACTGCATTAACATATACCTATCTCGCTAAGGGATGAGCGTGAGCAAGAGAAGAGCGCTTAACGATATTCGGATTTTGGCGTTCAGCGAAAACGGTCATATTAATAAACAAGATTTTAAAAAAGCATTAACTTATTTAGCCTGTAACAAACATAGATATCATAAAATTTCAGCTGAACTTAACTGTAATCGAATCTTTCCGTTCTGCTGTTTCTGCTAATTGGCTGAAAACTAATATTCCCCTCTGAATTCGGCGGATTACGAGAAGTCGGTTTTGGCCCATTCTCCGCCATTAAAATCTCTTTTAAGGCCATTAATGGGAATTTCGGATGGATTCCGGCCCCGCCCACAAATATTTGCAATACATTGTTCGGGACTCAGGGATTTCGCTCATACGCACACACTAACACACCCATACACACACACACATACAAATTGCACACTGAGTGCGATAAAAGTTTTATCAGCATTGTTGATGTACTGGCATCCGCAGAATCCTTCTCGCTTCATAATCTGCCAACAATAAACAAAAGCTGCCGCTTGTCAGACCTCCCCCTCAACCTCCTCCTTCCACCACCCGAAGCCTCCTTTTGTTGCAGTGTGTATTTCAACTTAATTGTGAAACAATTTAAGCGCATAATGCCAACTTTGTCCCACTGTCTGGGCAGGCTGTTTGATTTATTGTAATTTAAAACATTTGGCATATTACATATAAATTATTTAACCGTGGAGGCTTTTAATTTGCAAAACAAATGCAAGGCAAACAGGCCAATAAATAACGAAAAAAATATATTCTCAAGATAAGCCAAAAGCCAGTGAATCTAGTAAACCTCCTCTAACTTTCGTGCGGTCAACCTTGAGTTATGTTCTTAGCCAAGACAAAGTTGTTAAACAATCTATATGCATTATCTATATACGTATACATTTAGTCCAATAAAAACTATTGACAAACTGAGCCAGGACCAAGCTGCTTTCACTCCTCCTGCTGTCGTCGTCCTGCGACGGTCCTAGAAGACGGAACAGGGTGGTCAGGACTGTGGATGTTATGATTGTCAAATATTGAGTCATTTGCTCAAGCTGCTCTCGCAAGGACACTCAAGGATAACAGCCTCCTCCTTCACATCTTTCTCTGCCTACTCAGCTGCTTTTGTTGTCTCTGTTGATTTAGGTTAATACGTTTATGCATAAACTTTATTATTTATGATTTGCAATATTAGCAGATATACAAAAGGTCCGGCAGGAGTTTTAAGCGGGCAGGAAAAGAGACAAAGGAATGCCCAACTAGGATAAGACTAACCAAATACCTTGTAGGACTAGCTGCAGTGCAGCAGTTTCTGCAATAATCAGACATTAGTTTTAAACAACAAAAGCTTTTCCAAATACACAAAAACCCAACATACTTGCTAGCTAAGTAATACAAATTCGTGTTAGACAGTTTAAACTGAAGTTCTACTTAAGGATTTCGACCTCCTTCCCACAAACAGGCAAAGATTGTTTGCTGAATTATTAAAAATAATTCGGAAAAGGTCAAGATAAGGACAGCCCAGTTTCGCTCCCCTTTTGGCCTGTTACAAAATGCATGAGACAGAATGTCCAACTAAATTGAATAAATGATTAAACCGAAACTTCAGACTCGACACGGGGTGTTGGGCTGGAACCTGGAGCCTGGAACCTCGAACCTCGAACCTCGACCTGGGTAAATCATATATAAACGTATATGTGGGAAAGGCAGCGGATATAAATTTTCCGTTTCGGTCAAGAATTTATGTGGCCAGGCCATGACACGCATTATTTATACAGATCGGAGGGCCGGGAGGAGTTTACAAAACCGCGTCAGCAGTTAAAATTGCCTTTACTGGGGAAAAAAGCCCGCTTCGATGGAAATGGGTTTGGGGGGTTTGAAGGGGAGGAAAACACAACACAAACCTGCGGTTAGTTACGAGTCTATATAGAACTGCAACGACAACAATGAACAATGCACGAGCGGCGGCAAAAAAATTGAAAATATTTAACTGCATTTTAAAACCGTCGAGGAAGGCCAAACATTCAAAAAGTAAAACAATTCCGGATTTGTATAACGAATGTTGGAATCCCCTTTTAGAGTAAATAATGGAAAACTAGGAATTTCAACCCAGCTTTACCTTAGATTTCATGACATTTAAGATGAAAATCGTTTTTATTTAAACTCTCTTTAAAAGAATATTTAATCCTTGCCTTTATTCCCAAAATATTACCCAAAGCAGTAAACAAATTTCCAGAACTCACTTCAAAATGCTCTAATAAAATTACACTTACCCTCTGCTAGCGTATGAAACCCTGTGCGGCTGCTGCTGCCGGAAAATGCAGCGGCAGGAAAAACTAGAGAAATGCCCGTTAGCCCAGCCCGCGCTGCGTCCTTTGCGGAAATCCCTCAACTCCGTACACATGTCAAGCGCCAAATGAAACCTCAACAGGACAGCCCAGGAGTGCTGCAACTGCACTGGATGGCTATTCCATATCCCTTAGTCCAGATCCCGTTTTTCCCAGTTTTTCGGGGACGAGCACCGCAAAATGTCAGCGTACGCCCCACGCTTGTTAAAATTTATTGTTGCACAAAGCGACGGGGAGATATGCCAGCCGTCCGGGAAGAGTTGAGGGGGAGGGGTGGTGTTTTAGAGAGCCTACGGAGCTAAACTAATAGAGGTTTATGGTTTTCCAACAGGCCAACTGTGGGCGGAAAGAGCCCTATCTAGTTAGCGGAGGGAAATGCTACCAATGAAAATTTGTAGTGCCAGGAAAAGCGGAGTGTTTATATGCAAGTAAAGAGAACTTACTAGATCAGATTGATTGACTTAAATTGCCTTAATTTAATAATAATAACAAAAAAATTGGCATGAACGAATAGGGGAATATGTCATTTTAAATTTATTGACATTTTCATTTGACTTTTTTCTTTCAGAACTCAACTTTTATGGCAAATAATATAAGCCCAATGAAATAATTTATTTGTTTGACGATAATTGCACATTTGCTTTGGTTGATAGTGTCAACTTGACACCTTGTTAGTAGATATGTATTTATAGCTGTGAGATAACATTCAACATAATATTACTTTATGATTTTTTTAACAGTTTGTTAAAACACAGTTTATAAAAGAAGTTTTTTGAGGGATTTGGTTAAAAAATAGACAATTTTTGGCATTCTTGGCGAAGGACTCACAGATTTTGGTAATTCAGCTAAAAATTAAAACTATTTAAATTAAATATATATTCTAACTCCTATTTAACTATTTAAGTTTACTTAAAGTTGATAAATATTGTAATAGCTAAAGTAATTAATTCTGTTTGGATTTAATTTAGTATAACAATTTAGTTTAAGAAGTCTTCGAGGATAATAATAATGTGTATTTTCGAAGAGTGATTATATCCTACAAGCAGTTAAGGCATAGTTGGAATAAATATAAATAAGAGGTATTTCCATTTTAATAAACCCACCATATGCTGGACAAACTTTATTTTGCCGATTCTACTTAAAGCAGAAGATTAAGTGACCTTACACATCGCTTTCAGCGTTTGCGTTTCAGCAGTGCTGTGCGAATATTTTATTTAATCCCCAAATTAAAACAGCTTAAGGTACCCTGAAAGGAGAGTGGAGAGAAAGTCTGGGCTTTATCAAAAGCGATTTAGAGCAGGACCAGTCAACCCGAAACCCAGATAAAGATACAGATGCAGATACGGAAGCTGAAACAAAAACCGAGACAGAAGTGGACACATTTGCGAACCGGAGGGCGGCATTCAAACATATTGCACAAGTCAATTACAGGGATTTAGTGAGCTTTTTCGTACATTTTATTTAGCTAGGATTTTGGTTTTAGCATTACAAGGGCGAGGACAGCCACACCCAACCAACCACCCATCAGTCCATTCCCGAATGTGCCCGCAAAATTTGCGATAAAAATATACACCACGCACACAGAAACGGATCCAAAGCTATGGCCATAGCTATAGCCAGAGTACATGTTAAATAGTTTTCCTTTCTGGCCCAGAGAAGGGCAAATGGATGTGACCCAACAACACTAACAGCACTCAAGCTCCCAATCCCAGGATCGCCAGGACACACACACACACAGATATCGGGAGAGACACGCACACAGGCGCACCATTCAATTCAATTTGCCGGGCTAATGTGGTATTTGTCAACAGAGAACCAAACAGAAAATTACAGAATTACTCGGACATTGATTGAATCGAACGACGACGACGACGACAGCGACAGCAACAGCAACAGCGACAGCGACAGCGACGCAAGCTACCAATGATGACAAGCCAAAGTCCTGGCCCGGATTTCCCACCCACTACAGCCCATCGCATCGCAGCACCGCCCACTTGGGCATGAAATTATAGCCCCCAACGCAAGCAAATGGAGTGCAAACTCCCGGACACAATTTCCCGCAAACTATTTTTATTATCACGTAACATGAATTTTAATAAATGGAATTCCAGCCCTCTCACCTGCATGAAGCCCTCGGGACATCCGGGCAACTCGCCCGTGGGACTTAGGTTCGTTTCGTAACCATCCACATCCGTATCGACCATGCCCTCGTCGAACCTTCCCACTGTGAAGCCATCAAAGATGATCTGAAATGGAAATAGGATATATAAATTGGATGTGGTGATATTCATGCTGAAGAGGAAGTAAAACTCTTTGGTTGTATACTGTACTTAAGCTGCTTAAAGTTATATAATTCTTAATTTAAGTCTCTGGGTTTAATCTCTGGGTATTACATCTTTATATTAAAATAGATATCTACAAAGATATTTTCAAGGATAAGTCTACAATTTGTTATCTACTTTCTATTTATATAAGCTCAGCAAAACTTCCCAGGCTTAGGCTTATTTCTAATACACTTCCTTGTGCTTATTGCTAATCCTTTAAAGCCTAGCTTAGCCTGACAATACAGGGTATTAAAACTATACTTTATATTTGCTTAAAGTTATGCAAATGAAATTCCATTTGCGAAAAATGTAAGGGACGCACAACGCCTCATTGTGCCCGCCCACTGTTTGCATATTTGATTGGCCATAAAAAAGAAAATACCGCACTCCCGTTGCCGCCCCGTCAGGGAGTCAAGTCAAGGTCAAAGTGAGGCAGAGAGTCAAGTGTCTAATCCCGTATGCAATATGTACATTATGTACTCTCGTGCGGGCACATGTACCAGTATTTTTTCTTAATAAAATATGCAAATAAATGCCTGCCGGAGTGTGTGTCGAAAATTGGAAAGAAAACTCCAATAAAAGGGTTCGGCCTCGGGTTTCAGTTGGCGTTTGGCAGTCGGCTGCTGGCTGTTGGCTGCCACTTGCTTTTCATTTAGCCGACTTTCCCAACACCTACGCAGACTAAGAGATTTTCACTTCCAATTTGAAATATTAAACAAAGGCAAAAGTGACAGCCTGGAAAATGAGGCAGGGATATCCCCATCGCACATGGCATTTGTGGCTTCATTAGAAGCGACGACTGAACGACTGGACGACAGTGGGAATTTTCAGAAAAACTTTTGCATTTGCAAGTTCGCTTGGACTTCTCGCTCTGGCAATTCTCCTGGGCAAATGAGGAAGCATAATTTATGGGTAGTGTATGCTTTTTAAGGAGTCCTCTTTCATGTTTTATGGTTTTTTCTTTTTGAAAGTTTTTTGCTCTTCGGCGTGACAAAGTGGAAACTTCAACGAAAACTTTTCATCGCTGCTTTAATAGAAACTACGAGCGGTGTCAACCCGTTTCATTTCTGATATGTTTTGCGGCAGTAAATTAGGTCTCAATTTCAAATTTTCAACACAATAAATCCATTATGAACTCGACCACAAAAATGCCAAAAGCTCCACAAAATTCCATCGGCTTTAGCCAACTGAGCAGTCCACTAAAGAGCCATATCAATTTTATTCTAATTGTTATAATAATATAAGCGCTGAAATACAAGAAAAATATATCACAAAATCAAAATTCCACGAGGAAAAAAATGCTTTAAAAACGTGTCTGTGGAAGAAAAAATATCTGTAAATAAACATAATTTACATTGCAAAACAAATAATACATGAAAATTCTGTATGGTAAACTTAAATTATTTATATTACAAAAAAGACTTGATTTATGCGAAGTACTGTCTGCTTTTTGCTAGAAAACGTTTTCCTTTTGGTTGATTTGTTGCATACATTTTCCCGTCCATTAGAGGGCGTGAAAAACAAGGTTTAATTACGATAAAAAACAAGCGGCGCTATCGGCTATTTGATTAAAGCAAACATATTGCGGAGCCCGGGTTAAGGTATTTCCATTAAAAATTAGCCCATGGGTAACTGACTGAGTCCCAGGCAATTTAAACTTCTCCCTTCTACGAAGGTCTGGGACTCCGGCTGACAATCATCAATCAATATGTACAAACAGACAGCGGCAACAACATCGGCTCCCTGGTCCTCGTCCGCGCCGATGTCTAACATTATTATTTCAAGCAATTTCCCACACAGACGCACCCGAGTGAGAAGCAAAAAAAGTATATATACGTATATATAAAAATCGAACGCAAAGTGGGAAAGCGGGAAAACCCAGGGAAGCCTCGCAAAGCCAACCGCATGATTTATATGCTACGACGAAGAAGAAAATGTACACTGAAATGTTTGTTTTATTTTTTAACTCTAAAAATATTAAATTATTGTTACAAAAACTTATCTTTGTCGAAATGTCGAGGAGCCTGTCCTTATAGGACTAGCCCTAACGTGCATGAGATATCGTTTTGTGACCCTTTCTTAACTCAATAAATATCTTAAATCCTTAACTTCAGCATTAACACTTTGCAGATCACAACTTGCAGCTCACACCTTTTTACTTTTTGCTACAATAACTTGGTAAGCTTATGATATTCAAGTTAATTTTTTAATATTATTCCTCTATTTCTCCAGGTGCACCCACGTTATAGCAAAAAAGTGGTCTACAAATTCGGAAACACAAAATAAAAAGTTATAACTTATGCATGACAGATTTGTGCAAGGTGCAAAGCCCACGAAGGAACATTTTGCATACATCATCCGGGAAACTTATTCAAATGTACAAACTCGAATATGGGCGAGACTCCCAAGCGGATTGGTGAAATTTAAGGAGCAAATGGCATGGCAGCCTTGGAGAAGGGGAACAGATTTGCTGACTACCACTTCCTGGGACTCAACTGCTCATTGCGATGTTTACGCAAATTGCAGGGGAAATCAATTATTTTCGAAATTGAAATTGACGTTTCTCTGACAGCTCGCCAAAAATGTTTTGAAGCGTGTCTAATTTCATTGTCAACGTGGGTGGTTCCCCTTCCCCTGAGCTTTCCGATTTGTTTGCCTATTTCCCCCACAGTTCCTGCATCTTTTTCCTTCCTATTTATCCCGCTTTTTCGGTGTCCCCAAAGGCTTTTTAAAGAGCTTCGGTGCCATTTAAAGAGCAGGCAGGATGGCTGGGCTCCAACTGCAATCGCTGGGAGTCCTAATTAAGCACGCACCGAATGCCAGAGCCCCCAAAAATGTCAGGAGATATGCCGCCAAGGCGAGAAATGGAGACATTCTACCTAACAACAATGAATGGGGATGGGAGACAGCGAGAAAGGCATACATATAGATTTCAAAATACCCTTAGACCATCATGGGGATGTGGACTAGAAGGAATCCTTTATAGTTAGTTTTGATCTGACCTTTTCTGTATCACATTTCATTCTTGAAATGTTGACCATTAAACAAGCCGTTTTTTTTAAGTTCAGGTTACGTTTTCATGTTTTTATTTTAGATTTCTAAGCTGTAGTATTCTGATATTTAAATAAGTAATCCTGAGTAGGCAACTTTAATTGATTTCTAAACACCAAAATTTCGTTTCATTTCGTTTGTATAAATTAAATGATTAACAAAATTGCGTGGAAATGGTTCTAGAGACTTAAATTAAAATTTTTTAAAACCAAGTCAGAAAAGAATATTATTTTATTATCGATTTATGGATCTAAATGGCAATAATGGATACTTAGATTTATACATAAATAAATATTATTAACGATAATATTTTAAAATAAATGTTTTCTTTAAAAGAAAATTAGGTGCATTTTTGAAATCATTTTAGGAGATGATAATAGTAAATTCCTATTAAAAAGCGCAATAAATAAAATTATTTAATTTAATATCATTAATTTCTATTAAGTTCAACCAATAATCGTTCTATTTTATCGGCTTACTCGTGGTGCCGATACCCGGTGCCTTTCCATATGGAATCCACATACCTTGCCCGGCTGGCGAGCACGGACAGCTCCTCCTGTGATATGTGCGAATCGGGTTGCCATTGTTGGAAACGGGGGATGTGTCTCGGAATATTTCACGGCGGTGCATTTGTGCGTGTCGCTGTCTCGTGGTAGCGAATGTGTGCGTGTATGGCTGGATGTGTCCCGTTAGAGTGCACTCCTCCTGCAGGACCAGCGTCCTGCTGCCCTCGAGAGCATATGTGTGTGTGTGCATTGCACTTTTATTCCGCTGACGCACGGCTAATCTTTGGCCTACGGCGCACTAAAGCCAACAAACGGACAGCGGATAGTGTACAGAGGACAGTAGACACTCTGGACAGTGGACTGTGGACAACAACACGAACTGGGCACACACTCCACTGGCTTGTCTGTATTAGCACAGTCAACGAAAACTTATTTTCTTTTCTCTATAAGTATAAATGTAAAAGACCCAAACAGCCGATAACCTTAGCTGATACACGTTAGCTTAACTTGATATCACATTTAACCTTAGTTTGATAAGTTTAAAATGTGTAATATAATAATAGGATTAAGAAATAGTACGATTAAAGTCTGTTAGTGGTTTTTGGTGAAGGTATTAAACTACTTGTTTTCCCATACTGAGATCCTTCCCATCTTCTATCCTAAAAATAAAATGTAGACAATCCAGTAATGTAAATATTGCAAAGCAAATAAGAGATTCGTTGCTATAAAATAATATTAAATACGTAAGTATGTTTAAAAATCTCTTTCTTAATATTAATAAAAGTTTTCGTTACTTAAAAATCGTAATGCTTAGACTATTTAAAAGTTAGAAAGGTCGGAAATTGACTACATTGGTATCTTCTTAAGTACGGGTCCCTAGAGAATGCCCATCACTGTCAAACGGGCACCACTGTCAACCCCTACTCACCTGGACAATGTCGCCTTGATCATGACCGGATGCTGTGAATGTCAAGTGACAGAGGAAGGGCAATTTATTCCACTGTGGCGTTGGCACTTTTATGGCATAGGTGCGTCCGATATCGCCATAATATGTACGATTGCAGACTGTCGGAGTGGGGAGAAGATGTGGAATTTGAGTTGGATGTACGGTTATGTAAACTACAGTAAACAATCGAAAGAGTAGACATTCCAATCCTTTGATTTAGTTAATTGTATCACAAAATTGGAATCCTTTCAGAACTTAAAACAAAATGGAATCCATAGTCAAAAGAAGCTCCACATTTTATAATTAAGTGCATACTGCTATCCCCCAGTCCCCTCTTTCGATTGTTTACTGTACTATTTGTTAACCCCTTCCACCAGAGAGGCGGACGACAGCTGGCGGCATTCACTCACCGGAGCAATGTTTGGGCTCATCGCTGCCATCGGCGCAATCGCTGCGTCCGTCGCAGTATTTGTCCAGGGGCACGCAGATGGTGCCGCTGTTCCCGCTGCCCTTGCAGGAGAACTCGGAGACGCGGCAGGCGAGTCCTAGGGTGGTGGCCAGCAGGACGACCAGGACCGCTGGCAGGAGTAGCTGCAGCTCCACCAGCCGCTGCAGCGGAGATGAAGATGAACCGCACAACCGGTGACGGCAGTGTTTGTGACGTCTCCCCATCCTGGGCATCTGAAATGGGCGGAAGGGTGGCGGGAGGAAGGAGATTAGTTGAGTCAACAAATTGTCAGGTGATGTGCTGGAATCAAAGCGCTCCTGTCAACCGGAAAATGAGATGACTGTGAGTCGGAGGAAACGACCGCCGCCTGACCTAGATGAGTGGTGCGAATTTGAACAGACAGGGGGATGTTCACCCCGTCAGTTCTCCTCGCAGATCAGAAAGCAAACACAAATCGCAGCGATGGAGTTGTGAGTGTTTACCCTTTAAGTTTCAAAGTTCACTTGTGAGGAGTACAAAGGTCAACTCATAAAGCTTTAGTAGCATGTAAAAAGTATTATATATCTGAAAACTTAGGTGGCACATTGATACTTCTACACAAAATAGACATTAAACTTTCTAGTTTAGTTGCTAGCCATTTTAAGTTACTTCATGACAACTTTAGCCATAAAGTATCTTCTTCTTCTTCTTCTTAAATGTACTTTCCTTCTTTCATAAATCATTCGTTGAAACCTTTAAGAATTCCCTCACCTGGCTTTGTTTTAAATTATTTCCCTTTGTCTTATCCCTGCCACCCACTTCCTCCTTTCATCTCTGCAAACTGCCCCTTGTGGCCTTCTCATTTTTCTGCAATTTCTGCTTAGCCCCCAGCTAATTATTTTAGCTTCAGTTGGGATATTTCTCCTTGGCCACTTGTAAGTTTCTAAAAACAACAGGAACAAAGAAGGGAGCAAAACGCCCGACTTCGGAGTTAGTCCTTCGGTCCCCGAGCAGCAGAAGCTCCCCAGTTTCTTGGGCTAAGTAACTGGAAGTGTCCCGGTTGGCATTATCTCCATTCCATCCTTAACCTCGCCGACTCACACACACACGAGAGGGAAGCTACAATTATAGCACAAGTCGAGCGGGAAACATATTGACAGCAGAAAGCCACGAGGGTCCTACTCCGAAGAAAAGGACCGGGACCGGGAAAATGGGGAGCCAAGCGCTATGAGTGTTTTCCCGTTTGGCACGCGTCGCTTTTCCCTGTCTCCTTGACTATTTTTCCTCCAACTGCGGGATTGTCATGCCACATTATTATGCTTTATTTCCGTGAGCCATCTTCTGCTTTATTTTTATTAAAAATGTCGGCCAGCTGCCAAGTGCCAGCTTGGAATTCGCCTCTTAGTTTTTCTAACTTCTTACATTATAAACGAAATATATTTCGGGAAGTGAAAAAATAAACTTGCAGTCTAATTGGGATTTCTAAAATATAAATATATATATATATATCGATATTTTAGGAGTAGAAATATATCGGAAAAATAAATCCATAACACTTTTACTTTTATAAAATTTCTTTTCCTTTAAAATACTTTTTTAAATATTTCAGCTATGCAAATTTATTTTCCTTTCTATTTTTCATTCCTTTCTCTGAATATCAAGCGAACTCTGTTGTGTAGGGAAAAGTGCCGCTCGAGACGGCGTCTTGGACTTGGACTTCTCCTTGCCCTTTTAGTTCTTCCGGGCTACTGTTATTGTTGCTGTGGCTGTGGCTGGTGTCCTGCGCTGAAGTGTTTACAGCACTTCCGGCGCATAATGGAAAACAAAAGGCTTAAAAGGGGATACACAAAGGATTTGAGCAATCAAGTGCGCTTCTGAGCACGCAGACCGATAACAGTTTTATTCCTGCTCGCTTTTCCAGCCTTTTTTCTCGCTCGCATTTTTTCCTTGCACCTGCCATTAAGTTGAGGACTAAGGAGAAAAGATGCTTTCGCCCTCAGTTTGTTTCAAAGTCATAACAATGCTGAGTTTTCAATATGCGCCCAAAGGAGCCCACACGTATGCGTCATAAAGTCTTCCATGTGCAGGGCAAAAAAAAAAACGGGGAAAAAAAGGAGTAAAGAAACGGGGCATAAAACTTCAAGTAGTTAGGTCCAAATGTCTGCACGGTCTTAGCCAGCAACAACAATGAGGCCCGAAAGGGTGGACACAGAAAAAAGGCATTTCAAGGGGTCTGGCTTTTATGTCTAAAGTTTCACTTGAACGTCGAGCACACACCCACAGGAGTTCTGGTAAAAGGACATTTAAATTCTGTAGGGGAATGCAACTACATATGTGCCAAAGGGATTCCGGGCTCGGGGAATTTTAATTATAAAACTCCTCAGGTTTTTCGGCCGAACATCCACAAAAATAGGAATATCGCCCACCTAATGCAATGCATATTCGCCCAACTTCCTGTTTGATTGAGCTTAAGAATGCAGTTACAAGCAGCTGGAAATCATGAATAAGGCTGCTGCCGAGCTGGAAGGATAATAACCAGAGATGGGCAAGGGAAGTCGGAGGATAATCGGTTGCTGCATCAACAACCATCCCTCATCCCTCGGGTCAAAAGCAGAGCCAGGAAAAAACAGGGAAGCGGCTTGTAAGCCATTCCTAAGCCACATGCCAGCAAACAGGACCATCCAAGGCCAGAGAACAGGCAAAAGGAGAGAGAAAGGCAGAAAGAAGGCTAACAACAATGGAAGAACCTCCAAAGAAGAAACATTGAGTGAGCAACTTCCAGGAGAATACTCAAACAAATACAAGACACGATAACACTGAGAGCTCTATTTAACCAAAAAATAAACTTGGCAGTAGAAAAGAAAATTGTTAAATAGGTCATAGCTTTTCCTCTTGGGTATACTAAGAAATTGAAAATGCATAATATTAATTGGAAACCTAATAATAGTTTTTCCTTTCACCTTTGAAACCCCAACGATGAAAAACCCACTCTATCCTTTCACTTTCATAGTTACCGCTTGTACAAAAAATCCTCAATTACACGAATACGTTTTGGCCACCTGCATCCTACAGCTTGTCAGGGCTTAAAGGTCTTTCATTTCATTTATGGCCACATGCAGTCGCCCTTCCAGAGCTAATCCAATCAATGTACTCCCCTGCCTTGGCACAATCAAATCCTAGTTACAATTTGAAGACTTCACCAGCACACACATGCCACAATTAGAAAGGGAGAGATGGAGTAGAAAAAGATAGACAGAGAGACAGAAAACTACAGGACGACTGACCAACTGGATGGCTAAGAATTTGCCACAATTGACAAAGAATTTATGCGATGCTTATGAAAGGCTTTCCAGCTAAGTCCCCTTTACCAAATGACAGAGTTTCACTTTTTCAGCAGGCACTACGAGTACGTGAAGGAAACTGGGAAAAGCCAATGAAAACGATGTCCTTTACTCCTGCAGCAGTAAATAAACGCATCTGGGCCAGAAAAGTGAATGCTAATAGACCACAGGAAAAAAAGAATCGGATATCTCAATTGTTTGGCTTTCAAGGAAAAGCCATAATTTATATATTGGAAAATGTTTCTGTCTGAAATGTTGCTGAAATTGTTTTATTGTTTGTGGAAAAACTGATTGATTTTGATAGTTTGGGGACAGAATGAAAACAGTGAAGAAATTTATTATTTTACAGATTGCAGTCAGAAACTATAACTATAAGGCCATTATTTATTTTTATAATTTTAGTAAATTTAAATAATTTCTATAAACAGTAACCATGTAGAACTTAAATTTTTCCCAGTGGGAAACTGAAATTAGAAATCTTTGCCCGACAAAAAGTTTAAAATCACGCTGAAAATGTGGCCATTTCTGTTTTTCCATTTCCTGGTAGTGGGGCAATTGCCACCAAAAAACAACAACCGAAAAAAGAATAATATTTATAATTAAATTAATAAGAAACAGCATCAAAAGCCGGCCGAAAGAGGGCCAAAAGGCGACTCGAATGGCCAGCAGGCGTCAAGAAATTAGCATAACAAAGCCATTAGGAGAGGCACAGGGGAGTTCCAGTGGATTCTGATTTCAAAGCCAGCAGCCAGGCGACTGTGGCAATGACAGAGGGGCAAGACCGAGAGGTTGGAGTTTCTGGGTGGGTAGATGGGTGGTAGGAGGCGCTGCCGGGCAAAACGGCAACACAAACACAAACAGACTACGAATGTCACCCGCAGAGTCCAGGATACACCAGCAAAAACATTTTTAGAAATTTCCAGCTGAGAGCTGAGGCAACAATAAATATGAAAACTAATCCGCCATTTATTTAAATATTCGTATTCTTAACTGTTAATACTGTTATGAGTATAATGAAACATTTAGAGATGGAAAATAAACTCTGAAGCCTGTTCTACATATCTTAGCAATCCCGAAAGCTTAAATAATACCTTTTTTTTAAGGTAGGAACAATTCAAGTTTTCCTCTGAGTAATTAATAATTAAGTGAGCGATAAAAGAAGAAAACAGTTTGTCATCTTAGTGTAGGCAACTAATTTTGTCACAAGTTTTCATTAATTTCAAGCCAACATTCGAATGCATTTAGGATAGATTTTTAGACAGACTTAAACTAAAATCATATTAATTGTTTATAAATCTAATTCTAGTTCTTTCCTTTCTTAATTAAAGAATTTTATGATAAAAATTTAAATGAAATGACGAATTGTGAATGAATTGTGAAATTTTCCCAGGTGTAGCAATGGCTGCGATTTTTTCCGCGCTTCTCTTTTTTCATTCGTTGTCTACGTGCGAAGCTACTTTTTGAGTAATGGCCAAGATTACGCTGCAATGTGATGGAAATGGGAAATGGGGAGCAAGGATGCGGAGGAGGGCATGGCGGAGGGCCTGTCGCCTGTCTTTGCACAATTTAAAGTTGGTGTCACGCATCACGCTTCGGTCTAATGAGTCTCGTTTCTCCTCTCGTTTGCGCTCCAGCTTCGTCTGTGGCAATTGCAACGTGATTTGGCCAACGCGGCTCAATCAAGTAGGGTGACTCAGGGGGAGTAAGAGAAGTAGGGATAATGGTTACACGCCCTGATGAACTTGGCCACGGACAACGTATGACTAATATATATAATTGGGAATCAGCTAAGGCGAATTAATCAAACGAAAAAGTAGTTTTGCAGACTAGAGTTATGTTATCAATAAAAGGGGAGTTATTGTGCTGAGAAAATATGAGTAATAATCTGTCTTAGAAGCTGATTGGAAACTGGG